TTCCTGTTCATATGAAGCCCCTTTCTGCCACACAGTCTCCATAGCAACCACTTGAATGTTTGCCATCGTCTCCCCAATGCGTCAGTGTGAACGCATGACTAAACTTTTTACGCCTTTGCATGGCTTTTACCTCTGGTGTATCGTAGCGAGTTTAGGTTAGCGTGGCAAAGCCACCAATAGAATGGATTTCCTCGCCTCCTTGCCTCCATTTCTGCACCAGTAGTGCTGCGAATGCAGGACTTTGACTTCTGTAGTCTTGTATGATGGGCAGCTTTTTATGAGCTCCGTCATTCGCAGTGGTGAAAAAGTAGTCGCTGCCTGCCTTGCAACGCAAGCCACACAAGCCGCGTGACGCGAGTCAGGCTCATAAGAATCTGAAGAGGCAGCATGCTCGAAATGGTTCACTCGCAGTGCCTGGCGCCCATCCTGCTGTGGTGAGTGACCAGCTGAATCAAACGTAGGAGGCGGATGCATTTCACTGTCATCTGCGTGCACATGTTTTTTGTATGGTTGTGGCTGCCACACAGATTTTCAAGGTATAGTTCACCCAAGTGTTGCAAGAAGAAGCGCACTTCAATCTCATATTCGACATGGTAGTTTGCATGCAAGTCAAACAGCATTAAGGGCGAGCCGCTGAGGTTGGTATGGTGTGCGTGAGGGTGATCACTAGACTTGACGCACACACGCTGCTTCAGTTACGTTTAGACAAGAGTTCCACTCGTCTAAGTTCGTACTGCACCCGTACATGAGGTTGTTGCAAAGGCGGCGTGAATGATGAGCGACTGGTGGTGCATTCGAGCGTCCACGTTGGAAAGAGGTGTAATGAATGTTGATAACCATGGCTGGAGAAGACCTGCCTTGGCCTGCACTCATCATTCCGGGGACGTGCATACAGGGAGTATGTCGGAACGGAGTGCAGACCCACTTCTGCTGTTGATGACACACTGCCTGAGGCTCGTGATACGGCTCGACACTTGCCTTCCTCTCTGATAACAAACTATGGGGCGAGTAGCAAAGACTGAATTGTGCTGTACTGCAAACAAACGAGCTGCGGACTGTCGGAGGCGCTTGAATCACGAACGTTGCGTATGCGATGCGGACTGCGCTTGGTAAGCTGGATCAGAGGTAGGCGGATGCGCTAGGCTTCGTCTGTGCAGACACTCGTGTCGAACTAGGTTCAACCTTTTCGTGACGGTGAATGGAACGAGTTATTGCTACACATTGTTTGCCATTCATTCCATGGTTTTTTCACCAGAAATACACAGCAGTGAAAGCAGATCCTCGGAGGCGAGGGAGAATTTGTGGGCAGCCAGACAGTTGAGTGCAGACGAATCGGTTGCCAATTCAGAGCGGCTACTTCGTTGGGCGCACACGGCGGCGTGTTTTTCGTATCAACGCGTTTCAATATGTGCATGCTTGCTATTTGGCGCATGACGTACAGCTGCTCATACCTCTTCTCGCATAGCGCATCGCCTTTTTGCTGACGAAGGAAGAATGTTGCTCTTCATGCTGATTGCGAGTGTGTTGTCAGCAAAGACTAAGTTGGTACTTACGGGCAGGTTCTACGACCTAGCGATAGTAGAAGGTGTGCAAAAGCAGCACATGTGCAAGATTGCTTATCAGATGGGCTGTCTTGAGATTAGAAGAGAGTCGTTTCTATCTCAAGACACGAATTGAAACTGGGCGGTGGTTCTTCTCGGGTTTAAGGTTCCGCATAACTGGCATGACGTCTCGAGATAAGAAGGAGTGGATTGGTATTCCCGGGTGACAAGCGGTTGCCAAGCGCTAACCTAGCTTTTCCGTGACATTACACGGTCCTGGATCTGTCTCAGAAAGTGCGCTGGAACATAATACTCGGGCAGGCGACTAAGCAGCCAGATGAGTGGGTGCAATCTGTTTTGGAATAAGAATTCGCGATGCCACATCCTCAGCTGCCGCTGTCAAATGCCGCATTGGCACCGCTGACAGGGGGCGCATATTTTCTTGCAGGCATTGCTTTGCTACGCCTCGTCACGTACTTTTCTTCCCAACTGGGCGCGCCCTGTTATGTGCTCACAGGCTGCAGCGTCAGATGCTTGTGTACGTGTAGTTTGGTATGAAGTGAGGACGATTGTCGGGAGCTGGTAGCCATGCTGTTTAGCCAATAACGCGTCTTACCAATCTGTACAAACGCAGTCCAACATGGCAACGATTCCCTCACTTTGAAGCAGCCTTGCGGGTGACCACTCTGATGCACGTGACAGAATATGGCGTGCCTTCGCATACCCTTCATATGCGCAACACGCAATCCAGTAGCCCGAAGTATGCATTCGCGGGCAGCTGCTCTTTCGGTCGCTGTTTGCGCCTGTGTGTCATAGCACAGCGGAGGAGCTCTCTTTTCTTGTGTGGTTTCCATGCCTCTCAGCACGCGCTGTTGGTGTTTAGTTGGCAAAAAAGTCCACTGCATGGATTCAGTGGCTCGATCCAAAATGCAGCTCAACTCTTTAACGGTTGCTTTCTTGTTCGTCCACACGCCGATATTTGCCACGAATTCCGCTGCATTGCGGGGTGGGGGTCACGGCAGCGAGTGCAGCACAGCCCAAAGCCTACGGGGCAGACCCCCCTTACAGGCCACAATGCCAAAGGCCCGTCAAAGAGCTCGCCACTGCGTTGTTGCGGACATAGTGGTGTAGCGCCGAGGTAATTCAGGTCGTTGATGCGACAACGTCATATTGGATTCCGTGTCCTTTCTTGTAAATGATATGCGTACCTCTACCGAAACGCGACACAGTGCGCTCTGGGGACTTGCAGCTCACTTGCCACGGCGAGGATCTTCTGAGGATCAGCTGAATCTAATTGCATTGTTTGTGAGCGCCCTGCTGTAGCCGTTTGAGTATTTGGGTATCTGGGACGCACGTTTGGTTCTTTAACTGTCTGCTTTGCAATGTTTCCCCGGCACAGCGCAGTGCATCTTCCAGCTAAAGGCATCCCGTGTGTCGTTGGCTTATCAGTGGACACAACTAATGTTCTTTTACATATCGGTGTGTCGATAATGCTTCATGCAGTGAGAATCCTGGATGTGCGTGACTGCCATGTTTTCGCGTCCGTTGGCTGCTACACGGCGTCTGAATCAGAACAGGCGGGACTGCATATCGAACCCAATAGTTTGAGTCAATTTCTTGCCATCAGTACGTGTTTGGTAACTGGTTCCCAGGTGGGTCGTGTTGAATGTGCTGCGTTCCGCACGTGCTGCTCGGCATGTCCTCCCGCGTTTGGATGAGCTACACGGCCGGACTTGTTGCGGAGCGCCTAGCATTCCGCGATGCAAACGTTTTGGCGATTGATGTTTCCAGAAGGCCGTCCGTCCAATCTGCAACATGGGAATCATGCCCTGCAGCAGCATGCCACAAGTGTCTTCCTAGCAGCAGGTACTGCTACAATGGACACCACGAAGGCTTGACAGCGGAGCCGTTGATCTGCTTGGTCTGTGCCGGAGGACATGCGCCGCATGTGGTTAATAAACAACGCAGGAACCCGCAGTTGCCTGGCCAGTTCAGTGGCACGCTAGGGGGAATTTACGGGTTTGCGATTTGTGGATGGCGGGTTTTGTATTTGTGCATTGTGCATTGCGAGCCGCGCGACCTGCGTGACAACCAAATCAGGACAGGTGAGTGAGGCATTGTCAAGCAGTTTCTCATGTTTGAGGCTATTTTCTAGACGGGGCTTGCTTGCAGTGTTTTCGACGGCGGAGACTGAAGAACATTTCGCATGGAGACTGTGTTAGGTTAGGCGCAGTATCGTGGGCCTGCAGTGTTGAGGTGCAAGGTGGCATGGGGGATTCGAGAGACTGTGAAGCGGGACGCTCAAGTTTCAGCGCAGAGCAGGGATGTCAAGGCTTGCGCGTATGGGCTGGAAGAACAGTGATGTGAGGGTCGCGCTGCTTCGAACGCGTTAGCGGTACAATAGTTTGTGCCCATGTCTTGCCAGCTGCGCGTAGCACTCGCTAACGTTGCGCGTGTCCGCCTGCCTGGTGCAACGGGCTGAGCCTGAAGTGTCTGCTGGGTTCGCAGTTGAGAGCTTGAGGGTTGGGGCTGCTGTGGGGATGGCGCATAGAAGCCTAGGCGCAAAGGAAGAACACATGAATGATCAACATATATATAGGAAAAGATGGCTCCTAAGCAGTGTAGATTCTTGCTTTGGAAACGATTCATGCCATCTTGTTGTTTTCTGCGCGTTGTTTCTCAACTGTTGGTGGTTCAACTATGCTTGAAAGAGCCAGGCCACACGTAGTTTACAGTGCAGCACTTTACTTTCTTCGTTGCGTGTAGTCTATGCTTGAATGGTGCAACTCAGGCTTTGTGTTGGAGTATTAATATTGTACGTGACTCTGCATTTACTCGTCCTCGAATTTAGTGGACACAAGGATTCGTCCGTCATATCTTGTAGGCAAGTGCAGACTTTTTGGACGGTGCATGCTCGGGAAATGCACTGAGTAGTTCGTAAACATATGGAGAGTCCGAACGGAGAAAGCCCATCTTTCTCTTTTCCGAGTTCAGTTCTCTCTTGCGCACCGCGTTTCTGCGGTGACTGTGCAGGCTAGGTGCAGAAACTCTTGCTGATACCGAAAATATTCTTTGATGGGTAGGCTGCTTTTGCAATTTTCCAGAAAGTACGGGGTAGCTCATCTTCGTAAGTGAAGGTTCAGATTCGCTTTGGCTGGAGGTTTTTACTGAGATGTAGCGTGCGCCCTCCAGCAGCTCTGCTTCTTCTCTTCCAGCCTCGTCTTGTTGTTCGTTTGCGCATTTGTCCCCTCGCTATCCCAGCAACCAATGAACTATCCATGATTAATACATGCCGTTGCACCATTTCCTTATAATTAGGTACCATGCACAAATGTTCCAATACCGCAAACTCAGTTCCGACTCTTTGCAGTTTTGGGTGCCTTTGAAATCAGCAGTTGAAGGCTAGGATTTAGGAAGTAGTATCTCATGGTTACAGCTCAGACAGGTGAAGCCAGGACTTCACAGATAGATTTGATGAAGTCGAGTCTTAAGGCTCGATTTCATCGAGCCTTGAGACTCGACTTCATCAAATCGGTCTGTGTCGACGTTTGTTGCTTTTGACAGTGATGGCGCTGCAATTACTAATGCCGTTGCTCTTGTTGCTTCTGCTATTGCTTTGCTGGTATCATTTCTTGCGCCTACGCTGCTGTCTTCGCTGCGGCTAATATTTTGACTGCTCTTCGTATTGTCGTATCTGCTGCTGCTATTGCTGCTGATGACGGAAGGATTCCGTTCGATTGTCGATCCTGACTGCTGCTGCAGTGGCGACTGTTCTGTGGCGACTGTTCTGGTCATTGCTGCCACAGCTTCTTCTGTTACTGCTGCTCGGCAAGAGCTGTTCGATCTGCTACTACTTTCGCCTTTGGCGGTACTGCCGCCTGCGACAGGTTGTTTCAAGAGCTGAAGCGCCAAAATTTCCTCGTGGGCACTCCCCCGTTGCTGCATTTCTTCATCGGAATTCCTCAGTCTTAGAGACAGACATGAGCCTGCAAAACAGTTCGCTCCGCATAAGCTCCGTCCTCCTGTTCCGTCAGGGCTCGTTCACTTATCCATCCTAGCGCAAGCGCCCTCAGCAACTGGAGAGGGGGGAATCATTTTCGTTGCTGTTCCGGCATCAATACTGGCCAGTATACATTTGTAGATGGCTCGAGCGTTGCGCAGTTTACTTCCAGTTGCTTGCTGGCATGGGCGTTTCCTACCCTCGTTGCCCACAAGGAAGGATATCAAGCCACCCCAATGAATTTTGCTGGATAGATATAATCACAATTCCTGAAGAAGAGTGCTGCTGGTGCGTTACATTTGGCCGCCTCTCTCGGGGTGCTTCGCAGTGGCCATCTCGTGGTCAGTTGATATTAAACAGTGTAGCCGATTCTCGCCAGCATTCGCTTAGAAACTTCGTGTAACGGACAGCGCGTTTGTTAGCCCATGGAACTCCAAGCCATGCGTAGTGCGCCACTATCTCTGCTGTGCCGTGCCACGAACAAGGGATGAAATGAACATATTCGCTGATTGTACCCACATTAATTTAGATGATGTCACAGAAACGTGCTGGTCACTGCGAATTCCATTGACACCTCCTCCCATATCCACTTAGGAACCGGTAGTGTCTTGATTGCTCCGAGAATAAAAGTGTTCTTTTTCGTACTTGCTGACACTACTGATGTGAAAAGATATTCTTCGGGCGAGGGGATCATTCTAGGCCACCATAGGGACCTGGGCACTGGCTCCACATGTAGCATGCGTACGATAGCAGAATAAAGCCCTATCACTCACTTTGTGCGGACGCCTGTACGACGCGAAGCTGGAACATATAATAAGGCACATGTGCGCCTGCCCACTCTTGCTGAACGCAGGCAAGACTTCCGTGGACATAACTATCCAGCCCTGATTGGCAGGGTCGTTGCAATTGAGCAGGGTTATTCACGAACCCGAAAAGCAACAAGGCGTCTGCTTTGCGAGTGCGGGCCAGGACAGCCGTCTCATACCTGCCGTCGGAAGACACTGTAACCAATAGCAACGTGTCAGAGAAGACACATGATTAGACTGCTGAGCCTTGCAAGCAGTCAATGAGTTCGTCAACCCGCGGGATTGAAAAATTTTGCTTCACTTCGGTTTTGTTCAGGCGCTAAATATCGACGCACATGCCTCCGACCCTTCTTCCTTGCCAGCGCAGGATATGACCAAACACTCTTGCTGAGGTTTGAACTTTGCCCTTTCTTTCCTATTCTTCTGGTTGTCGCTCGACTTCCCCTTCAAGGTGAGGGTGTCGCGTATAGTTTGCAACAAAGCTCAGGGTTGCTCAGAGAGTGAGTTCGATGCGACGCATTGGGGATCCAGCCTCCCTGGTAGCTGTTTATTACTTAGAATATGATTGCCTGTCTTTCAACTGTGCCCATTTCTGAACCTCCTTGAATATTTTCTTGATCGCATTCCCCAAACCACCACCCTAATAAAACTATCACACGGGAGTTTGTGCATTTCTCCGTCGTTTCCTGCAGCGCCTCTATACTGCGTAGGAGCCTCCTCTCTCCTCTCTCCTGTGGCACTGCTCCCACTCGTATCCCCCTAAATGATGCAAGTACTGTTGGGACCGCTGAGAGGTGCACTCTCAGTGCTTAGCGGCGAGCAGAGCGTATTAGCTTCGTTTGGGGGCCGCATGCGAGCGCTGCATTGGGTTGCCTTCGCCATGCCCAGAGCCACGTCGTGGTGAAGTGAGGAAATCTGGAAATCATGCATCGTGGAATCTTGACCAATTTCTGAATTGAGCTTGCACTTAACACCCATAGTTGTGCGGACTCAGTGCCTAGTGTGCCATTTGCAAAAACGCGAAGTGTAGCCGCAGTAACTGCGCCACCAAATAGGCAGGTCTGCGTCAGATATCAGATCCGCTTCGCAGCCTGTGTCGTGCAACGATAGCAAGTTGTGGCCACTAGTACTAACTTGGATAAGAGTTGAAGCAACTCGAGGCATATCTGCGGGTGGGGCTGTCACCACTTTTGTCCCCACCAAGTGCGCCGCGCGTTCCTTGGGGGCAGCGGTGTCTCCGTGATCGTGTTTTTGATTGCCCCGCTGGTCACAATTCCGCTTCGCCAGTTCCTCCGCCCTCCTGTGATCTGAAAATGTGTGGGCTTGTTTGATGCAAAAGGAGCAGATGCCCCACTCGTTACTTCCCTCGGCTTTCTGAGCGCCGAATTTTCTGCTTGTTGCCAGTTACCGCTTTTTATTTTTGCTGAGCGGTATCTGGGTCATTTCAAAACTCGCTTGTCTCCTTCTCAGCTGTGCGCGTGAAAGTGGCATGTTTTCTGCTTTTTATGCTTAAACGTTCCATAATCTCTGCATTGTCAGCCACTTCAGCTATTAGTTCCCTCCTTGCCCACAGGCGCGATACCGATCGCCCCTTCTCGGGGAGCAGGCCTGCTGGAAACCATTGATATAGATAGAAGGTTTGAGTCCGCTGTTGGGCTACTGCTCACCAAAGACTGATACGTCTGGATATAGAAATATATAAGCTTCCATTTGGAGCGTATTATCAGCTCTCCCATCGCCTGTTCCCCTGCATACTTGGGAATGAACCTACGTCACAGCGCACGCAATACACCTTCCATAATTCGGTTGTGTTCCGGGAAAATGGCACCACTGCATAGACATAAACATTGTCATGCTTCTTCTTTTTAATAAAGTATGCGCCAAAGGCAACTGTGGCAGGCCTGGTGTATTTTGAAGACAAAAGTACAACTCCAGCGTAATCAGGGACTACTCCACTGCCTCCGCTTCGCGGCACTCGCCATAGCTGGACGGTCAGCACAGGCATTATTCGTGCAGTGTTTCTGCTGCACAGACGTTTCTGCTGGATGGGATGCAGATACTGCGCTTTCTCCAATGCGGCGAACCGCCATCCTGATCAGTCTCCATGCCAAGTGTAGCGGAAACTGCGGTTGTAGGTGAAGACCTTCGCGAGTTGCAAGAGAGGAAAGTACTAGACGAAAGTGTTCTCGAAAGTAGTCTGACCTATTCATTCCCTACGCATCCTGGCTTCAGCGGCCCAAGTGCCTCGGGGTGGTGCGGAGAGGCGGCGGTCAACCATGAGTTGCACCGTAGGTTGCTGCTACGTGTGCAGCAGGGCAACCCAGAATACATGCACAGCCAAGCCCCCTTGCTGTATACTGTTAAACACCTCCTTGGCCCTCCATAGCCAGCCTGGGAGCAAGTTGAATTACACGCGCCAGCTTAGCACAGACCATCTACACACAGGGTGTAGGAAAGGCATTCCAAGGGGTATGCTGTTTTCATACTTTTCCTAACCGTTTGAGCCTACCAACGGGAGTCCTCGCGAAACGCACTACAACTGCCACTGTGCTGTACTAAAGTAGCAATATCGTGCACAGCAACGGCTGCAGCCACAGTTCCCCGTGTAGCATGATTGTTGCTGCACCAGCAGCGGTGACAGAACATGCAACAAATAGTTCCGCAGTCAGAGCCTCCCTCTTCGCATTCTGTAGGTCTCACCCCACAGTCTGCTTCTGCACGTTGCTTTGGCCACTGCTATACGGTAGTGGAGTACTGCAGCATCTGCAACCACCATGAGAGGGGGGCCAATCGCCGTTGCGTCCGCCCGCACTATTGCCTGGCATTTCAGTTTGCCTGTTGTCTCTCGGCAAGGGCTGCGATTTAACAGCCCTTATCCCTCTAGCACCTTGTCGCCTCTATTGGGGCTTGACGCGAATATTTCCTTCTGTCCTCAGGTGTGTCCGTTACTTCACTTTCCCATTCTTATCTGCAATGCGCCTCGTTCACTGACACCTCTCGTATTTGCGTATAAACTCTTTTGTTGGCCGACTGTGTGTCTGGCATGTCTGTACCCAACTAGCTCTGTCCTCACTTCTTATCGATGGTACGCGTCGCCTATCTAAACTTCGCATAGTTGTGCACGAACTTCTCTACTCGGCTCTCCCCCTGACTAATTCGTCCCCAACTGTCTCTTCTCACTCGTTTTCCCCTTCCTATCTTTAATGCGCCTCGTCCATTTACATCTGACTGAAGTTTAGTCTCTGTGGAGCGTGAGAGCATGCGTCGCTTTTCATCTTTGTTGACAGCTGCCCCGCCGGAAAGCTGAGAGCCTGCTGCCGTGCTGGTCTGTTCCGAAGCACTTCTGTATGCCCCCGCCACTGGCAGTCTCTTTGTTCATCCAAATCCAGGCATTTGCGGCTGCCTGTGTCTGCCCACAAGCTTACGCCTGCCTACGCCTGCGGATATCTGCCTGCTGCGGCTTCTTTCTGCCTGTCTCTAAAAGTATTAGCACTCTGACCACCAGGGAATGCTGCAGATGCCAAGGCACCAAACTGGCATGGCCTAGCAGCAGGTGGTGCACTCCTACAGCACCGAATGCCGTTAAATGCACCTCCAATATCCATCACAAAAGAACCAACGGCGTGCATTAGAGCGAACCCTAAACCGTAGACCCCAAGCACACACCTCCTGAGAGCTGGAGGCGCTGTGGGACACAATTAGTCATTAAATAGAGGGTTTGAAGCAGTCTACACACACACACACACACACGACCCAGGAACCGGATATGGCCTTAAAAATCCTCACCCGCTCTCTGCCGAAGGTGGCGCGAGGAACGACGGCTAGGCCAAGGAGGCACGAGTAGATCGAGAGGAGCTACGTCCCCAGGGCGCAGCAGAATGGGAACGGGCGGTGCCACTAGAGCCTAAGCCCTAACATACCTGGAACATCACCGGACGTTCAAAGAGGTGGCGCGCGTTGGGTGCAGCCCTGCCATCTGTACACACAGTTCGAGAGCGAAACTCTGCTCCCTTAAGTCGCTACTACGTGTGTTGATGCACTTGGCGCGCTGCCACGTGCAACACTGATCAAACGATGGAGTAGACCAAAGCTGGGCCGCTTCAAAAGCTCTGCGGATTCGAATATTGGGCAAAAGCCGTATATGTTGGTGTTTACGTGGTCAGGTACCTTGAGCGGACGCCGCAGGGGCAGGAGGCTGCTGTGTAGGGAGCAGCAGACTGCTCCCTGTAGGCGCCATTCCCGTCGTTCCTATGGAGTGCGTCGCTGCAGCAGCAGCAGGAACAGTACAAGGCACAACAGTGAAGGCGCGCAACAATCGGCCCAACCATGGCTCGAACAGCCTAACCAACCCCTAATCTCTCAGCCCCGGCCGCAGACGCTAATAGTACAGTAGAGCTTACGCGGAGGCGGTGGTCCGTTTGAAAGGCGGCCTGCCCCCGGTTGCTGCCTCATTTGTTGCTGCTGCTGCTTCATTTGCTGCTGCTGTGGCTGCTGGAGGGCGGCTCTCTGCTGCGGGCCCGACGACGGTGGCGAGCTGCTCAGCTGCTGCTGCTTTGCCGTCCCGCGCTGCAACTCACGAAGATCCGAGTCAAACATGGCGTCGATCGTGTCGAAATTCAGGGCTGCAGGCAGCAGCAGCATCAAAGGAGAGCAACGCAGTGGTTGTAGCAGCAGTGGCAGCAGCGGCAGTGGCAGCAGCAGCAATGGGAGCGTATGAGATAGTCAATGAAACACCTCGTTGTCAGTGTTTTTGATCCTATTGGAAACTAAAGAGGAAACGGCGACAAAGCAGGTCCATCGGTAGCGGCAGAACTGCTTGAGGGGCAAGCAGCATCAAAAAGTAGAGCAGCAGCTCAGCGTGAAAGCAAATATCGGTGCTACGCCTGCCTGCAATCTGGGGGTCGCGCTGCAGCACAGCCGCTGCCTTCTTCAGAGTGCTCATCTGGGCCATCAGAGATCGCCGCTCTTCCACGACGTGTGAAGGCTGCACCAGCAGCCCCAGCATCATTGAATTTCCGCAAAATAACGCATTTTTGACGAAGACAAAACTAGGAGTCGGCGAATGAACGACAAAGAAAGCGGAGAGCCGGCCAGGCAGGAGTACGGAGACATTGGCATTCAAAAAGAGAGACAAAATGCGCCAATAACAAAGCGGCAGAGAAGCAAATACACAAGGGGCCGATGCACAATACAGCGAGCGTGAACGAGGGAAGAGGAAGAATACCACAAGACAGCAAAAGTCCCCCATAGGGTTTGGCTGTCTCACCTCCCCAAGGAGAGAAGAAAACAGTTGCTCGTCATTAAGTTTATTGTACAACTCGAATTGCAGCTTGTCCTGCAACTGCCGGACCAAGAAAAATCCGATTTTCTTGGGGACCTGACACGAACAGCAACCAAAGCAACAACAATGTAAGAGGGAGCGTCTCAACTTAAGCGCCAGCAGCTACATTTGCTGGATGGGGTCTCGCTCCTCCTTTCTCGCGAGGTCTCGTGCGAACATACGAGACAAATCATCTGCGTCTATTTGTCAGTGTCTTCCTATTCTGCCTGACTCTGCTTGTCTTCGGGTGTTCAAACGTTTAATATGCCACCACATTCTCGTGTGTGCCCATTAACTGTGTATTTTCTTCTCTCCCTGCTGCTCAACCTTACTGTGTCTCGAACGTTATGCAGCACCAAACCAAAATACGCGTCCAGCCGACGGCGGATCTCTTGAATGAATTGCTCTAAGCCACAGAAGCAGCAGCAGTACCACGACCACTAGCCCTTGCAGCAGTAGCAGCCGTACCGAACCCCTAGCTCACGAAAAACAGAAAACTAAGAAGATACCCCAAAACACTTGCACCGACAGTTATTGCAGCAGCAGCACTATGGCGAACCACTGTAAACAGGCTTCTTCTTGTCCTTCGATGTCCATAAGGTGGACATCTGACTCTGAACCTGCTGCAACATCTGCTGTGCTCGCTCAGCATGAGACGGCTGCTGCAAAGGACGCCCGTCCGGCCCAATACCCATCTGCTGGTGCTGCTGCAGCAACTGCTGTTGCTGCTGCAGCTGCTCCAGAGTCAGCTGCTGCTGCGTAATCATTGTGCCGTGGTCTTGAAGATATCTGAAGTAGACAGCGGCCACGGGAAGCAGCAGTAGCGTCAACACCAGAAGAAATACGCAGCGGCAGAGGAAGCACGCTGCAGCAGCTACAAAACGACTCAGCAGCATTACAAAAGAGGCGCAGCGACAACAAGCAGCAAAGGAGCAGGAGCAACAGAAGTGTCGGTGGAATGCTGACCGTTCGTCATTGGTAAACAAGTAGCCCATTTCTGCGTCGACATCGTGTTGCAGGATTTCCCGCGTTGCCTCCTTCTCCCTTATTAATATCTCCTGTGATATTTCTAAGACGCGCTCTGCCAGGGCCGGGAAACGACAAAAGACCCTCTCAGCCACGCGCTGAGATAGACTCTCCAGCGTCTGCGCTACGCGGTCTGCGGTGGACAAACACCCGGAGTCATACAACCAGCACATGCAGATGAAACACGTAAAAGCAGCAAAGAGGAATAGTGCAACCGCGGGAGCACCAGGTCTGCAAGGCTGCGAGAGACGCGCCAAGCGCGCTTCTCCCCGGCGATCGCAGCAGCGACATCAAAAAGCGCTGCAAAACAGCAATGGAACAGCAGCGGGACGCCGAGTTGGTTCACCAAGGCAATCCATAACCGGAGGGGAGAGCTTTTTGAGATAAGGTAAGATGAGGTGTTCAAAAGTGTCCGGAGAAGGAAAGCCTGGGAGAGACTCCCCTTCATGAAGTCGAATCGCTGTTTCCACCTGACTGTCCGTTATGTCATCCGAGATGTTCCGGTCGCAGTACTCATCCAGCAGACTTGTGTACTCGTGACGTATACAAGACCCAATGGTCAGACACTGGTCCTACACCGGAGGCAAATACATGACCACCCGCAGAAGCAGACATAGACCCAACACTGCATCGCCCAGAAACAGGCGCAAACACATGCAAGCAGGGGAAATCCCCTGCCTGACCATCAGCTTCATCTTTACTGCAGGTTCAGACGCATTACACCCAATACACAGACCAGAGAAGCAAGGGGCAGCGGAAGTGCGATGCATCGGTGGAAAGGGCATGGACATCTTCCAAACGTCGCTAGCTGCAGAGGCTAGCTGCAGCGGCTAAGCTGCAGCGGCTAATGGCAGCGAATAGCACTGGTGAGCCCCTTCCTAACAAACTCTTTCCATATGGATTTCCCTCTATATTTCTTCACTTTTGCTGCTGTCACGGCGAAGACCCGTAGGAAATCACCGCTCCTCTCCCAGAGTCCATCGGTTTCGTCTCGTAGATTACCTGGTCGAAATACTTTTGCAGGCGCTTGTCATACTTCCCTCTTATGGCGCTCTTAATCACCTCTACGTAGTCCGTGATGGCTGTCCAGAGCAGCTGAGCCCTGTCTCTCGACTCAGATGGGACGCCCTAACCAAGACAAGCCAGAACAAACAGAAACTTCGAGGCACGCGTGACGCTACAAGGATGAGCCTGGATTGAAACAAGTCAACGCAGAGATATACGCTTCAACAGGTACGCAGCATGTGCAGCTCAAACTACTTGTAGGGAAGCGTACACATGAGCAACACGAAATGCATGCACGTCCATGCTACACATGTATGCACAAAAGACGCAGAAAGATGAAAGCATGTGCACAAACGACCCCAACAAAACGGCTGTCACTCTCAGCATAAGACCAGCGGGGGAAAGACCAAGGTCAATTCTTTTGATCCCACACGCGAAACAGAGAAAGGCAGAAGCACAAAGTTCTCACAAATGGTAAAGACGCTACAAAAGAAGTCAACGCACGGCACGGCAAGACGAACCTCTCCCAGTTCCTGGATTCGGGTTTGCACTCCTCGAGCCTTGACCTGTATTTCCTTCCTTATTTCAGGTAGCACGTGCTTTATGTGCAGAAACAGCACACGGGTCAGCTTTTCCACCAACGACGGGATGCCCCAGTATTGGGCCCCCATGTGTCCATAGACTGGGTGAGTCTTGAAGTACTGTCGCTCGTCTTCCAGACAGCTCTGCACACTCTTCCCAGCCTTGATGTCTGCCTGAGAACGATTCTTGACCCCTGAATCCACAGGAATCCTCTGCACAAATGAACCCTTACGAATGCATAAAAGCACGCTGACACATGTGTATGTACTCATCTGCAGCATCTACCAAAATGCACGATTGCGTGCAAACAAGCAATCTCTTCCCTACGTCAGCCACCACTGCTACAGTAAAAAAATACGCTCCTACACCTTTCACTGTCGTATGACCCGCAGTCACGACAAGCCAGCGAGCTGCAATATCCTGCTGAACGTGCAGCAACACGCCTACTCATCGGCAGTCATGATACCTTAGGAGCTTATTTAACTGCAACTTTATATAGAAAAAGGGACTGGCGTGCCTGTGTAGCCAAGTCGCAATGGAATTTCCTCGCCCAAAAGCATCTTGCATGCATCCGTTCCACTGTCCATCAGATCAACTTTTGTGATGACGCCAATTGTACGTACACCCCGCGGATCGACGCGCCGAGCCAACTGCAGCGCGTCGGATGTCGACATATCTGAGCAGAGGAGAGGCAAAAGGAAGGGGCGATGAGGCGGACTGCACGAGACAAAGTACAATGATCCTAGGTTTTCTCTACACCTCAGCTGCACAAGGAAGAGATCGAAGACCCACCAGCATTGGCCGGCAAGACCGCCAAAATTATTGTGCGAGGGTCTGCTGCGTATCTGAAAGAGGCACCGACAGACGAAGATTGACACAAATGAAAAGGCAGGCATGCATGCAGAGCAGGGCTGATCGACAGAGAATGCAATACAGAAACAGGCGAAGGCAGGGACAGAGCAGTACACAAAGGCCCACGAAGGCGCACAAACACACGCGAACAAGCTCGCATGAGGGAGCGGACAGAACAAGACAAACTGAAAAAATTAGCCAGTCATGGAGAAACAAACGGCTAGAGACCTGTCTCTCATCAACATAATGCTGGCTAGACACAAATACAGCGTCAGTGGGAGCCCTTCAAAGTAGGTGCCCGTGAAAATGCAGAAACCCGCAAGCAGTACGATGCAGAGAGCCAGAGCTGCCGACAAGGATGAATGCGCATCTAGGAGCAACACTATCGCGTAAACATGCTGTTTTACACGTGTCCACGTTCTCGTAGCATCCAGCGTTAATGGGGATGCACACAAACGAATTCGAATCCCCCATTCATCGCCAGCGAAGACATCCCACCCCGCCCCAAAAGTCAAAAAGATCGTTGCCCACGAGAGACCCTCCATGCAGAATATATTATAGGGTGCAAACACCCATTAGGAGTATATGTATGCAAACAACTGCATGGGCATGCAAGCGCAAGCATCCCCATCTTGTTGCTGGGCAGAGCGCCTTGCCTGAGAGCCATCTGCCGCGTCAGTGCCTCGATGTCGTCTGACTGATCACTACCCTTCAGCGGCACGCGGGTGATGCCGGGAAGGTCAATTAAAGACAGGTCAGGACAGCGGGTGGCATAGACAGTCAAGACGATAGGCGAGTCGACAATCCCCTTGTTCTTGCCTAACAGTAACAGTCACAGGAACAATTGCGAGAAACTCAAGTGAAAGCCCACGGGATGAAGTCATTCAAATACGTGCAAGCATAATCTGTAGCCATTCCCTTCTATCCCTATTCCGGCGCCATGTTGCAAGTGCATCTGCATCTATCTTGAGCTCGTTAATTATATCCTCTTTCTGTTGTTGCTCCAATGATATATCTACGCCTTCCCTTCTGTATGCGCCATAACCCCATCTTGCGCCCACCCCCCGCTAAAGCACACAGTGCACCAGTTTGCGTGCGCTAAACAGATCAACGCAGCTGCCCGCCCAGTGCAAAGACAAAGCGATACACAAACTTTAGAGAGGGCGGAATCTGCACGGGCTTAGCAGACAAGTATTTGCATGCAGTACAGGAGCACCAGAGAACGCGCATGCACCAGCACGAAATCAAACCCCACCGGCGACTTCATCCGTAAGCCGTTCAATCTCTGCGCGGACTTCGTCAAAATTCTTGAATTTCCTGTCTTTGCAGTTGTCGAACACCGCGAAGGCCTCTTCAGGTCCGTGCTCAGCTGGAATCCAAAAATGCCTCGAACGCAAACTAAAATCTAGGTGTGCTCTTTGATACCTCTTTCAACCAGCACACAAAACAAGCCTGCGCTAGAGGCGTAGAGCTGGAATTTGCACCGAGATGACGACAATGCACGGAGACAAAGACCCACACTAATAGCTCTACTGTGCATATCATGAGGTGTACGTACACTCGGGTAAATGAACAAGCCGCAGTTCCAGCGGTCTCCTGGTGACAACTCCATCTCCTCTTGGGAGAAAATCGACGCCAACAATAGCCTCTAGAACTGAACTTTTCCCTGAAAACCGCAAAGGAGGTGGTCACAGGCGACACTCAAGTTCATCTGCCATATTCCGTTTCGCTCTAGCTAGCAAAGGGCGGTAGCAACAAACGAGAACCCGCGAATGACACACATACACATTTTGTGTTTACAAACCTGCTGACTGAGTCCCTAAAACGCAGATGCGGGGAAGCTGAATCCACTGCTGAACACCGCAGTCGCGGAGTTCGTCCTGAACGAGAGCAGCGAAAGGAGAAAGGGCATACAACGGGTGGACCCAGGGCCAACTGAATTACGTGGATGTGATGTATGGACACAAGCAAGCGCATCCACTTGGGGTGGCGCCCAATATACATAGATGGTGCGCCCCCAAAAGCAGCGGTTCCACCACGTTAGAAAGCCGCAGCACCGAGCCGACGGAGGAGGCCCCATTCTCCACATATCCCAAGGGCCTTCAGTGTACACTTGCGCACTTCCCTCCGACAAGGAGCAAAACATATGGAAGAGGTGGGTGAAAGATGGGCCCCCGAAGGGCCCCAAGTAAAAACTAGCCTCCACAGAAGGCGGGGGCTCCGCCGCTGCCTGTCTAATGCATCTGCCTAGAGTATCTTGTGCAGCTGGATGAGGATTTGAATGACAGGGATGGAAGAATAGATGGGAGGGTTGAAGAGGATCTGAACCCTGTTCTCACCACAACATTAATCAACTTGCGCAGCTGATGATACATCTGAGACTCCAGTTTGCCGCCATCGCCGCTAGCAGTGCTGGCGGTCTCTGACGTCATTTGTGGCCCATTGAGATGTTCCATCTCAAAAGGCTTGGCGGTAAGGGACACTGAGCAGAGAAAGTAAATAGGATAATGGACGGGAAGGCGCAGCGACGGCGAGCCGCTCCTGATCCTCGGACGTAATTGATGGAGTGCGAAACCCTCAAAGTCGACGCCAAAGTCAAGCTGAATATTCAAAAACACGAGAAGTTTGTCAAGTGCTGTATGGGGGAAAACCCGGTAAGTGACACGAAGATACCCTAGCAACTAGGTAGGTCTTGTTCAGTCAGGCTCATGGCACGCGGGGAAGAGGCCTAAACCAAGTAAAGGGAACGGAAAGGCAACAATCTGCTTAATTCTTGCTGCTTTCCAGAATTAAGCAGAAAAGTCTTAACACAATCAACGAGTCCTGACATGCTCTATTGACCCACGGGCGAAACCTACACCCAGGCGGTTGGACTGAGCACGCGCCCACCGGCTCCCACCACAACAGTATTTTAGCCCATGTCTGCTAGGAAAATGCTTTCCTTTTCCTACAACTTGAGCCTTTGGATAAACTATTTGTTGCAGTGTAATCAGAGTTTCAGGGAATCATTTAGTTGGTTTCTCTGTGCAGATTCGCCCGAGGCAGCCTGTCAAGCTGCTCCCGACATACCCTGCACGGTGAGCCATACCTTACGGCAATTTAGAGACCTGGGGGTTAGGCCTATTGTTTGTTTCTGAAAACTTATTTGGTCTCTCTCCAACTAAGAACTAAACAGGCTGAGAAGGGGCTCAGGGTATCCTATTCGGCTGCTGCCACAGGAAGCAGACAATCGCTTTCTCGCATCGCGCGGCGTTCTGGTTGTTTTTCTGCCACATCGCCGCTTCCTGACAGAATGAGGCTTCTACCAAACTTACCGGTTCTCATTGTCCTCCACTGGGTGGCAGCTTCTGAGCACGCCGCGTGCGGCACTGTCGCTGCGGCGTGGTCTGTAACGAGATTCCTCCGTCTTAGCAGAGGGCTGTCTTGAGCTTCAAAACAATCCAAATGCTTCAGCAAGTAGTTCTCACAAGCAGCTGGCATGACTTCGCAGTCTCCGGGAGTGCCAAGTTCAGCAGCCAAAAGGCCTGGCGCAGATGCGCCAGCCCGCTCAGGTTTATCGTGTGATAACGGTCCTCGACTTTAGCAGAGTAGCAGAGGGCCCTCGGCTGCTGGAATAAACTCCATATACTCAAGAAGAGACTTGTACGAAAGCACTTAACCTCCCCATACTGCTCCAAGCGTCCTGGGTACAGCGGCCCAAGGACAGGGCAGGTGTAGAGAGGAACCGGGCGATAATGGGCTGCACAGCACCGTCATGCACCTAATGCTGCAAAGCAGCCTTAAGTGTAAGCATAGGCAAACCCCCTTTGCTGCATGCACTATCAGTGTAGGCAGTTGTTAAGCACCTACTTTTGCCGTTAGTAGAGATACATGCACGGCCGCGCTGCCCCCGCCTCTCCCTCAAGCCTCAGGCGCTCGCGTATGCCTAGTCACCTCTACCAAAGAAATGAAGGAAGAAAACCAGCGGAAATGGGGGAATTGCATCTGGTGATGATACTTCGCTATGCTGTTGCCTTTGACGTGCTGTCCGCTGTGGTCCTGTGATGGCCAATGTCAAGCCGCTCCGTGCAATCGCGCCAAAGGGCGTTAACGAACCTTGGGTCAGTGCCAATAATGATACTCGTTGGAAAAGTGTGGGTTTTCAGACGTGAAAAATGAGGAATTGGCCCACTCCTCCTGTGACAGCTAGAACAGGGGAGGAAGTACGTGTAGTTGATGAGTGGATTCAAGACAACGACAACGCAACTGCCAAAGCCTCCGGCCCGTTGTAAACTCACTGTCAACGCCATTCAGATATCCGTCTAGATTCGTTTAGGAAATGAAAGACTCTGCAAGAGCCCAGCTTTGAGAGTGTCCTCAGTTCTTCGCTACCGCCATTCCGGGTAAGTCGGGAAATATTCCCTAATTGAGGAGCGCCTCCTAGGCCACCCAGAAAAACTAGCCGAGCAATCTCTTGCTGTGGTGACTCCACCATGGCCCGCTAAACTATGACAGTGCCTTTTGAACAATATAGTCTGTGCGAAGCGAAGCTCGAATGGATAATCGGGAGAGTCCGGGCTTCCTCTTATCCCATAAGCGATCACTGTGTATGATGTAGTGCTTGACCTGTCGTCCGTTGCTTTGAGAACCTTGCACGAATCGAACCCGCATGACTGCCTAAGGAGTGAGCAGAACGACACTTAGGAGGAAAATGGGAATCTTATCAGATAAGCGCGGTTGCAGGACAAACTGCGAGGGAGGTAGGACCTCACGATAGTGCGTCAACAACCACGTCGGTAATACCCCTGATATCCTTGACTGCGAAGTGGCACTGTGTGAGCCGGCAAAGTCACCGAAGGATTGTTTTACTATAGTAGCCGTGGAATCGCTTCGTCAGGCATGTCAGGGATTGGTGGTCTGTTTGAACAGTGAAGTATCCTCCATATAGGTAATACCGACGTTTTTACTTCCTATAGGACAGCGGAAAGCCCCGTCTCTCGTACCGGCTACGCTTGCTGTCCACGAAAGAACGTGAGTAGCAGGGCATTATTTGGTGGTCTTTCGAGTATTTGGCTTGCTGAGAGAGCATCTGTCATGTTGCTGGCATTGGCTGTTAGAAAAAAGAGTCTGTCCAAATCAGGGCGGGCAACAATCCCAGGTGAGGCTACTGGCCGCCGCACCGCCACTTTCCTTCCAAGTAAGCTGCTTTCCCTTCTTACAGTGGTGGCGATGAGGGTGAATTCATTCAAGAAGTCGTAGTGGTACGATGCAAGACTGAGGAATTTCTGAACATCCGTTGGGGCTTACCGGTGTAGCGACAACAGTTGAAAAACTGAAGTCGTCCGTGTATATTACTATTCATCCCTCACTGATTGACCACAATACATCGTGAATAACCTGTCTCTGCGGTTCGTCTGGTGCATTCAAGAGCTCACAGAGGATCCTCACGTACTGGAGTCTGCGACTGTGCGTATGGAACACAGCCTGTGCAGCTTGATAGCTTTTTGTTACTTCGAATCTAATACTTCAAGTACTTTTCTTTCAATTGTGCCCATTTCTGTCCTTCCTCAGCTATTCACTGAGTCGAATTCCCCAAACTGGAGCCCTGGTAAGTATGTGCATTTATCCGTCGTTTCCTGCAGTGCATGGAGTAGGAGCCTCCTCTCTCGTCTTTCCTGGGGATACGGATTCCACTCCTCTTCCCGTCAATGATGCAACTACTGTTGGGACCGCTGAGAGATGCATTCTCAGTGCTTACCGCCGAGTGAAGCCCATTATCGTTGCCCAGGGGCCGCACCTGCGCGCTCCACCCCGTAACCTACAACATGCCTGGGATCTGCCGTGGTGAACTAGACCAACATAGAAGTCATCTATCATGGAACTATAGCCCATTCCTGAATGCAGTTTATGCCCACAGTTGTGCCGAATGCCGTGTCCGGCGTGCCACCAGCAAAGCAAAGCCACAGAAACTGCGGCAACGAAATAGAGAGATACGCCACATCTCCTCGCAGTAGCTATAGATCTCAGATCCGTTTCGCAGCATGTGCCAAGTAACGCTAGTAACTCGTGGGCACTATTACAAACATAGATGAGCACTGAGATATCTTGAGGCGGGTCTCCGAGTGTGTCTGTAACCACGTTTGGTTCCACCTAGTGTACCGCATGCTGCGTGGGGGCTGTGGCGTTTCTACGGTTGCCTTGGTTTTCGCCCCGATGCTCGAACTCTTGATTCTCCAGTTCTTCCGATCTCTGAAGTCTCGAAATATGTACCCTTGGTTGTTTCATAAGAAGCAGATTCACAGCTAGCTACGTTTTTCCGGGTGTGTGCATGTGTGTGTGCGCGCGCCAATAGCCAGTTTGTCGTCAGTTGCCGATTCTTATCTCTTTTTGAGTGGGGATGGCATCCACAGTGCCGATATCCATCGGTGTTATGTCTACCTCATTTCCAATCTTGCTTGTCTCCTTCTCAGCTATGGACGCATATGCGGCGCTCTTTCTCCTTTTTGATGCGTAAGTATTCCATCACCTCTGCAGGGTCAACCCTTCCACCCCTCAGTCCCCTCGCGGCCGCCCGTGTTACCGATTTCCTCTCCTCGAGGGACAGCCCTGCCATGAACCATTGACCTAGGAGCGTCAGTCCACCGTCGGAATACTGCTCACCAAGGGCTATTACTTCTGGATGTCGTGCGCTACAGATATTTTTTCCCGTGTTAACGTATTATCAGTTCTCGGATAGCCAGTTCTCTTGCACACCTGGGGATGAACCTACATCGCACCGCACATGGGAAGCCTCCCGAAGTTAGGATTTGCACCGTGAAGGTGGGATCCTTGGATGTATACACCAACGTCGTCGTGCTGCCCCTTCTATGGAAATTTCAATTGGAACTGTAGCACGCCGGTTGCATTTTAAAGACGCACGTACAACTCCAGTGTTACAACGAACTCCTTCACAGTCCCGGCATGGCGGCACTCGTCATATTTGGACGGCCGGTGGAGGAATTTTTCACGAAGTACTTTAGATGTGCAACCATTTTCGGCTGGTTGAAATGCAGAACCTGAGCTGATATCAACGCGGCGAGACTCCCAGCCGGTGGTTGCTCCCCCCAGAGGGCACCACTATGCTTGAGGAGAAAAGGGATGAGGCTTCGATAAATGCTTTTGGAGAGCGTCTAAGTTTTTTGCTCACGTTTAGTACCAGCCAATGCTATGCAGCAGGCTGCCCTGTCCCAATGAACCTTGGAGCTCTACCATGTATAGACACAGTCCGTGATGATAGCCGAGACTCATCGAGAGCCGCACTAGATCCGAAGACTTAAAGAAAGAATCCCAAAAATGCAACTGGTATCACCTTCTCTCCACCTAGATCCTGGTCACAGAGGTCAAGGGCCTGGGGCAGGTGCAGCAATGTACTGCACCAGCCGTAAGCCCCTGGCTAGGGCCTGCTCCATAAAGGAGTCAGACGTCGTGAGCTGCAACGCACCTCGATGCACATAATGCTGTAAGACAGCCTCAAGCGCAAGCACAACAGAGCCGCCTTTGCTGCATGCACCAACACTTTACACAGTTGTTACACGCACTTCTGGCCTTAAGCCGGCAGCTCGCATGCCAATAAAGATACGCGTACACCCAGACCAGGCTACAGAGGAGGCTTTAGGTGTTTCCGGTTCTGTAGTATCCGCCTTCACCTGCAGCTGCATCTGACTGTCCGTTGATAAGCTTTCCTGTGTCTGTACTTGCTTATCACATTCCTGTCTGTGGGTCTCGTTGCGTTAGTTGCAAGCCCTCTGCCCGCCACATTCGTACTGGCCATCGAGGCATATGGGACGGGAGTTCTTGGCCTTCGCGGAGGGCCGTCGTGAGCTAACATACAGTCAAAATGCTTTAGGAAGAAGTTCTGGAAAAAGTGGTGACCATCCCTCCAGTCTCCACGCCTGCTAGGTTTAACGGCCCAAGGGCCCAGGTTGGCGGCACGGCTTCGCCTGAGCTGCACTACCGCTTGTTTATTGTCCTGCTGCACGGCAACCGCAGAAACACGTATAGTCACCACCACTGCACAATACTGGCGACAATTGTAGAAGGCGTACTCTGCCGTCAGTTGCCCGAGTGTGCACAACTAGGAATAGGTGTATGACCTCTACAGAGACCATGCTGCACGATTCGACACATCTTCTTCTAGGATAGATATTTGCATGTTGCAACTGTCACCAATTTATACTCTTCACTATACTCACTTTTAGCATTCTGACTCGCTCCTGTCGAGACAGCCGCAGCAGAAGGCCGGACGGTGTGCTCCGTACTGGGTCTCTATTGAGAAATAGGTGTACGTACAACGAAGCGGGCAAGTTTTGCGTAAGTGTGCAAACTAAACTCAGTCAAAACAGCGAGAGATCACGAGGAGACGGCTCCTTCATTTCGCAGACCAGCGCCAGAGCAGTACCTCGGCGAGCACCTCTGCAACACGGCGGGGTTTAGTTTAGGGTTTAGCGTTTGTGGGGCTGCGTACTTAGCTGCCACAAGCAACGCCTGAAGACAAAGAATATGCGCCATTAACACATGTCTTTCTAGAAAAGATAGGAAAGAGCGGTGAGCAGCAACGGCAGCAGCAGCACCACCTGCAGCAGCCCCTCTGTCTCCCTTCGCAGCAGCAGCACGGCACACCCCTCGTTAGTCGCAGCGGGAACGCTCGTCCGGCACTTAAACACTCATGTTTATCCTATTTTTAGTTTATTTTTTTCTAGGTTTTTTTTTACTTTGTGTGTGTCCCCGTAAGGCCGCTTCTCTAGGCCAACACCGTGGCAGCAGCAGCCATCGACAGCAGCAGCAGCAGCGTGTGTCAGATTGCGTGCTGCTGCTGCTGCGAATATACCTCGACTGTCCCTTTGCCTGGCAAGCAGACACAGTAGCTATCAGTCACCTTTCTGTCTCCTTCTGTCTCTTTATTTCGGCGTCAGACTCGGCGGCAGCAGCAACTTCGACAGGCCACGGTGTCGCCTCCCCCCAGCCTCACGCCCCCAGCAGCAGCAGCAGCCGCAGCAGCAGCAGCGGCTCCTGCAGGCGCTTCGGTAGGTAGGCCGTGTACGTACACCTGAAAACAGAAAGTGCACTACAGGCAAACACGGGTTGTCTTCTGTCTGTGCATGTGTCTTTTCCCTGGAGCGGGGGCATAAGCCATCGTGGCAGCAGCAGCACTGGCAGCAGCAGCAGCAGCAGCAGCCGCGCAAAGACAAGCTCCCGACTGCAACAGCAGCAGCAGCAGCTGCTGCAGCACCTCTTGGACTCTTCTGTCCATACAGTTGCCAGCACCAACACAGCATTAAGAAGCTGCTGCAGCAATTGCCGTTTGAGGGGGGGTCTCGCTGCTGCTAGAGCCTGCCCCGCCCCCCAGCTTCCGTGCTGCTGGAGCAGCGTTTACTGGTGGCGTTGTCTGCTTGTTCTTTATTTGTTTTCTTGCGGCATTTGCTATTCTTTTTCAAAGTTATCGGTCTTCTCTCCTTGTCCAGCACCAGCAGCGGTGGCGGCAGCTGCAGCAGCTGCAGCAGCGGCTGCAGCAGCTGCCCCCAAATCGACGTGTTTTCTTGTTGTTTATTCCCTGCAGGTGCGGAGGCACATGCCAATTGAGGGCTATTTAGCCCTGTCTTCTCGCTGCAAGAGCAGCAACAAAAGTATTAGCAGAAGCCCCACCAGCAGCACGTGCAGCGACAGCAACAGGACAGCAGCAGGAGGCGAGGATGCCGAAGCCAGCCCTCCCCCATCTTCCTCTGAAGGACATACGACGGGCTTTGCTGCTGCCCCCGCAGCAGCAGCAGCAACGGCAGCAGCAACCTTGCTTGGCCGTTGGTAGCGATCAGCCACAGCAGCAGCAGCAGAAGCAGCAGGAGCTCGACAGCATGCAGCGACAACTGGGGGTGGTTACGGAGGCCGATCTGCTGCGGGCTCTTAAGCAGCTTGCTGAATCCCCTGTCTTATTTGCTTCCCAGCAGCAGCAGGAGGAGGCGCAGCAGCAGCAACAGCAGCAGCAGCTGCTGCTGTTGCAAGAAGCCGATGTTGCTGGTGGGGGGGGGCCTGCAAAGAACGCACCTGACTATCCTCTATCTTGCCTCTGCCAGGCACAAGGCGTAGGGGGAAGCCGCGGTTGCAGCCGTTGCAGCAGCAGCAGCAGGCAGCAACATCAGCAAGCTGCTGCAGGCAGAACCGTGCATAAGAGACAACACAGGCAACAGCAGCAGGTGCCAGAAAAGCAGCAGCTGCAGCAGCAGCTACAGCAGCAGCAAAGCAGCGGCCAGCAGCAAATCGGCGCAGCTGGCCGTCGCGTGGGGGGCCTAGCACGGGGCCCCGTGGAGCAGCAGCAACCGCAGCAGCAGCAGCAGCAGCAGCAGCAGCAGTGGATTGACTTTGGAGAGGCTCTGAGCCTGCAGAAACAGCTCGACGCTCTTATGCGCAATGCGCTTGAAGGCTTGGGGCCGGCTTCAGGCGAAAGCTCTCCTCAGCAGCAGGAATGGCAGCAGCAGCAGCAGCAGCAGCTAGGGGGCGGCATGAGCAGCGGCAGATTTAGCCACTACACTTCAGGAGATGTAACGCCCGCCAGCAGCAGCGAATGCCGCACCCCTCAGGGTACAACTTTTTCTATTGAGCCCCCAGGGGTTGCTGCTGCGCTGCAGCAGCAGCAACAGCAACAGCAGCAGCAACTTGAAGATCTGGGGGACTCCGCCGCAGGCTCCCTCCAGGGAACGACTGCCGTTGCAGTAAGTTGTTTGCAGCAGCAACAGCAGGTGTTGAAGCAGCGCACTGTGTGTTTATCTCGCTGTAACACTGGCTGCTCATGCTGCTGCTGCTGCTGCTGCTGTTGGGTGTGTTGTTGCAGCTTGCGCTGAAGGCGCGGGAGCTGCGCGACGGTTTGCTGGAGGAGTTGCAGCAGCAAGGCCTCTCTGCAGATGCTGCTGCAAGTCGAGCAGCAGACATCTTCAGTGCTGCTCTCGCTCTCACTAGGTGCTCAGCGACAAAGCCTGAAGCAGGGAAGAACTTCTTTTCGTGGTTACAAGGTACGTGTTCAAAGACCTGCAACAGCAGCAGAAGCAACAGCGGCAGCAGCTGCTGCTGCTGCCACAGCTGCTGTCGGCAGCATTTGCTTGTTATGTATGTCACTGTCGTCCGCTCCTTCAGTATGGGGTTGGCTTTGGTATCTGTCTGTCCTGCTGCTGCTGCTGCTGCTGCTGCTGCTGTCCGTCTCTCCTCTAGTGCTCTTATTAAGTGTTGTTGCTGTTGCAGTGGCTTTGGGGTTGTATGCACGGGGGTATTTTGCTGCTGCTGGTGCAGCATTGTGGAAGCGTTAAAGAAGGGTTTGCTGCGCATGCAGGTGTGGGGGGCCCTAACTTTGCTGCCCCTACAATGCTGGCACACCCTGATGAATTTCGTAATCCTTCTTCCTTCCTTAAGATCTACGGGGACCCTATGTGCTGCTTAGAACAGCAGGCACACCGCGGAGGCAGCGGCCCTTGGGGGGCTGCGGGCGACAACACAACAGCAGCAGCAAACCCAATACGAGGCCGCAACGGGAACTGGCTCTGCAGGAGCTGCAGCAATGTAAATTTCCCCAGACGCTTCCGCTGCAACAAGTGTGGGGCCCCCAGAGGGCCTGAAGGCGACGCTGTAGTTGCCGAGTATGCAAAGCAGGTGTACAGACACCACTTAAACACCTTCCGGTTGCTGGCTGAGAGTCGGGGCGGGGATACCCCGCTCAAGAGGCTCCGGGGGAAGAAGAAGCAGCAGCAGCAACAACAGCAGCAGCAACAGCAGCAGCAACAACAGCAAAGAGCTGTAGCAGCTGCCGTCCTAGGGCTTGCTTCTCTCTCCCGCAGCAGCAGCACCAACGATAGCCCCACGCACCAGGCGAGACAACTCAGAGCCCCGGTGCTGCCAGCCTCTCTGGCGTCGACAGTGTGCGGCCTTACGGGCAGCAACAGCAGCAGGAACGGCCGCAGCAGCAGCAGCAGCAGCAGCCCCTGCCACTCCCTATCCCTGGGCGCTAGCGAAACAAGCCCATTGAATGCGAGTACCTGCAGCAACAACGCAGGCATTCAAGCAACTTCAGGACCCCCCCAAGCAGCAGATAGTGCCGCTGCGGGGGAGGATGCATTGGCTTCATCAGAAACAGGAGCAGCAGCAGCAGCAGCTGAAACAAAGCTCCACTTCGCGTCGCACGCTCTCCACTGAAGAGCAACAAACACTTTTGCTGCGGTGTTGCAGCATGGGTAGCCGTGCAGGTGTACAGACACCGCGTTCCCGCTGCAGCGCAGCTATCAGCTTCTTCCTCGCCTCCGCAGCAGCAGCAGCGCCAGCAACCGGTTTGAATTAGTTGGTCTCAAATGTGTCTCTCGTCGTCATGCAACAACTGTAGACAGTTTGTTCTCCTCGCGTTGCTGTGTATGCTGCGGGACTCCGCAGCAGCAGCAGTTGCAGCAGCAGCAACGGCAAGTTTCAGGTGTACATACACCGCGACTAGCGGCCGCGCCCCGATATGTTTTTTGCGGCTCTTCCAGCAGCAAGCGCAGCAGTTTTGCTGCTGTCGAGAAGCAGGTCGACTGGTCCGTTTGGTCACTCCATTTGTACTGGATTGGTTGAAGATGGAGCAATGCGAGCAGCAGCAGCTGCAGCAGCAGCTGCAACGGCTGCTGCTGCTGCCATTTGTGGTGGACATCTACAGCAGCACCAACAGCAGCAGCAGTACCAGCAGCGAATGCACAGCAGCAGAGCAGTGCTGCTGCAGCTGCTCCACAAGGTGGCTGTACACAGCAGGCCCGACAAGGCCTCTTGTGTGTGAGTCTCTTGAGCCAGTGCTGCTGCAGCAGCCCTGGTGGACAGCAGCAGACAGCAACAGCAGCAGCAGGATGCTGCTGATGCACAATACATTTTATAGCCCAGCCTTCTCCGCCTGAGGAGGAGAGAGGGCATCCCCTTAACACAGAAGTTTTGTGGCTGCGAGGACCGTAGCCAAGTGTGCCTCCAGCGGCAGCAGCAGCAGCAGCAGCAGCAGGAGTAGCGGCATCTGCCGCATATGCTGCTGCTCGTTCTGCTCGGCTGCATAGTGTCGTAATAAGAAAAAAACAAAAACGGATAAAGCGTCACCTCGAGGCAGACAAATTTGTAGACAGTCGATGCATGCATGCATATATAGTTAGAAGCCCCCATGAATCAGGCAGCAAGGACAGCATTATGCATGTGGGGTGTACGCTCTATTGGGTTATTAATTGGCTGCAACAGTACAGCAGCAACATGAACTGCAGCAGCGGCGGAAGTAGCCGCAGCAGACCTCAAGGGTTGTTTCTTTGGCTGCAGATGTACGAGGAGCGGTGGCAGCTGCTGCTGGCTGTGGCGCTGTCTTACGCCGCAGAGAGTGATGCTTCTGTGCATGCGGAGGAAGAAGGTAGAGGGATTTAAATGCGACTTTGGGTCGAGCTCGGGTGTACAGACACTAGGGAGGTTGCAGCAGCAACAGTTCCTTGTGCTGCTGTGCCTGCGACTACTTGGCTGTTAGCATGTTAGCACTAGTGGGGTTGTATAATACCTGAAAAGAGAGGCTAGCGAAGCCACATGAAGAAGCAGCGCAGTATCTCTTTTTGCTGCTGCATTCGCCTGAGGTGTATTGGATGGGCAGCAGCAGCCAATTTACTTCACAGCCCCGTAGTCTCGCCTGAGGGATCTTTGACGGCCTATCACCTATAGCAGTTGGCTGCAGCAGTTAGCTGCAGCAGGTCCTTGCAGCGCATAAGGAATGCAACAGCAGCAGGCGCTGCAGCTGCGCAGCAGCTGTAACTTCTTGGCGTCACCTCAGCGCTGTGCTGCTGCAGGGGGACTGCAGACTGAGTGCTGCAGCTAAAATCCACAGAGAGGTTTAAATGAAATAAATATCGACTGCATTTACTCAACTAATAACACCTGCAGGTACAGGGGAGCCTTATACAGGGGGCGGCTGCAGCTCTAGCTCTAGCTACCTACAGACTTATACTGTAGAAGAACACAGAGACAAGCTAATAATCTATATGATATTTAATATATTTTATAGGAAAGCACATATAATATTTAATATATTTTACAGGAAAGGAGCGCCTCTTTAACCCCTTAGCCCAGTGGGCTGTAGCAGCAGAAGTACATGAAGAGTCTATGAGGGTGTCTGGTGCTGCAGTACAATAGCAGACATAATAATAATTTGTTTATTTAAATCTTTTCTAACTTAGTATAATAATACTTTTCTATTGGGTTAGTTCTGCAGCGTACAGAGGGCCCCCTAAAAGGTTGTTATCACCCCCCTAAGTGACCTCGAGTGGTGGTGTTGCTGCTGCTGCTGCTGCTGCTGTTGCTGCTGGGTTGCTGCTGTTGCTGTTGCAGCTCAGGTAATCCAGCGTTAAAATAGATGCACAGAGGAACACCAATACATTTATAAATACTATTTAAAAAGATAACGTGAGGGTATGCCCTAACGCCAGCATCCTGCTGCAGCTACACAGCAGCAGCTGCAGCAGCTACCAACACCAGTGCTGCTGCTTCTGTTGCTGCTGCTGCTTGTGCATGCACTCCAACTTCTTTCTCTACCGCTTCTGCCTTATGTTGACGAAACAGGGTAAACTGTTAATGCGTTTAGATTTATAAGGGAGCAGCGTTAGGGGCTGTTGCGCTCGTAGACAGAAGACACCGTAGGCTTCCCCCCTGTCCTTGCTGCTGCTGCTGCTGCTGCTGCTGCTGCTCCTGCTGCTGTTGCTGCTGCTAGAGCGCGCCAGGGAGCAGCAGCTCAGACACACCTTGGGAAATGCCGCATCCAGGGGGCAGGGGCTTAGTACAGGCGCTACGACGCAAAACTTTAGCTGCGCATACACCGTAGAAGACCTCTGTTTGTGCCCCCAGCAAAGTAACTACGCATAGCCAGCAGCAGCAGAGCGAGCAGCAAGACCAGCAGCAGCAAGACCAGCAGCAGCAGCAAGGAATGCTGCGCCGAAGCTGTGCCGCTCCCCAAAGGGGGAGCGTCTCTGAGGGCGTTCCCGTCAGCAGCAGCAGAAGGGGGGTTGACGACAGCAGCAGCAACAGCAACAGCAGCAGCAGCAGCAGCAGCAGGAGCTCCAGCAGCGGTTATTGGCTCCCTTCGTGGCTGTGTGCGTGCATATCGTACTCGGTTGTGCTGCTGCATCTATGGAGCAGCTATTTGCTGCTGCAGCGGGGGCCTTCTCATTTCTTCTCGCTGCAGCTTGTGCTGCTAGCTGTCAACGGGGTGTATGTACTCGCCTTCCGTTCTCTTGCCTTACAGGTAAAGGAACAGACACGGATGCTGCTGTTCTGCTGCTGCTGCTTCTGCTGCTACTGTTGCTACTGCTGCAGCTGTTGCAGCGGCTTCTGCTGCAGCTGCTTTTGTTGCGGCTGCTGCTGCTTCTGGATTTACTTGGTTTGAGGAGTGCTGCTGCCGTTGTATCCTGTTGCAGTGTATGTACAGGTGTTGGGTCTGCTGCTGCTATCGCATGCTGGCGCTCTTGTCGTTGCTGTCTTTGCTTCTTTGCTGCTTCTTTCTTCTTGTCTCTCTTTGTCTGGTTGATTGCCTGTTGTCTGTTTGGCGTTGTTTGTTGCTGTTGCTGCTGCTGTCGCTGCTGCTACTGTTTTTGTTGCTGCTACTGTTTTTGTTGCTGCAGCTGCTATTGTTGCTGCTGTTGCTGCTGCTGCTGTTGCTGCTGCTGCTGCTGCTTTCGAGTTTTATCACCTGGAGGCCCCGTTGTCTCTCGATTTGTTTGTCTTTGCTGTCTCTCTGCAGCAGCATGTCTATTTTCTTGTTTTTTTTGTTTGTTTCCTTTGTTTGCATCTTTTGTTTGTTTTGTTTATTTTATTTATTGTGTCTCCGGTGTTTGTTTATTGTTTGTTTTGTTTGTTTTATGCTCTTCACTCTGTTTGTTTGTTTTGTTTGTTTTATTTATTATGTTTGTTTGTTAGTTCTCTTTATTTTTTGTGTTTGTTTGTCTTGCTTGTTTTACTTAGATTGCTTTGTTTGCTTTGTTTGCTCTGTTTGTTCTGTTTGTCTATTTTATTTAGTTTATTTTCTTTTGTTTGTTTGTTTGTTTGTTGTGTGTATTATCTTTATTTAGTTTGTGTCTTTCTTTGTTTCCTCATATTGTTTATTTATCTTTAATTTTATTTGTTTTGTTAATATACTTTATTTGTTTTGTTTAGGTGGATGGCTTGCTGGGCCCGGGGATAGGTTTAATATCGCTGGGTAGTCAGCAGCAGCAGCAGCAGCTGCAGCTGCTGCAGCAGCTGCCTGCGTCTGTACCTGTTAGCTTTCTTTTATCGGGCGTCAGTTATGTGGCGAGAGAATCAAGCAGGAAGAGCAGCAGCTTTAAGGTAAGAGTTGCTGCTGCTTGGTTTGCTGCTGGGGCTGCATCTGCATTTGCTGCTCTCTCCTCTGTCTGTCTCTCTTTGCTCTCTCTCTGTTGTCTGTCTCTTCTTTGGTGTCTCCGCTCTCTTCTGTCTCCTTTGTCTCCTCCGTTTGTTTTGTTTGTTTTGTTTGCTTTGTTTCTGCATTTGTTTATTTACTGGCTTTGTTTGTGTGTGGGGCCGACGTTGCTGCTGCATTCGCTGCTGCTGTTTCTGGTGCCCTGCTTTGGTGGTGCTGCTGATGCTGCTGTTACTGCTGTTGCTGCTGTTGCTGCTGTTGTAGTTGCTGCTGCTGCTGCTGCTGCTGCTGTTGCTGCTTTGTGTCTTGCGGCAGTACTATGAGTGTTTCTTTAGCTTATAATTGCTTTTTTTTTCTGCGTTTGTTTTTTGAATTGGGGTGTATCTGCAGCTCAGCCATTTGGCGTGGGGTGGCTGCACATGCGCAGCATTTAATTTGCTGCTGTCTCTGCTGCTGCCTCCGGGCTTCTCCCGATCTCTCTGGCAGACAGCTGCTTTTTGTCTGCAGTTTTTTCTTTATCTTTGCTTTCGTTACTTTGGGAAGGAGTTTATGACTTTTCAGTGGTTAGTAACAGACATTAAGAGACAGACACTGCACAAGGAGACACTAAGAGACATTAAAAGGAGACACTAAGAGATATTGAAAGGAGACACTAGGAGACATTGAAAGGAGACAGTAGGAGACATTAAAAGGAGACAGTAGGAGACATTGAAAGGAGACAGTAGGAGACATTAAAAGGAGACAGTAGGAGACATTAAAAGGAGACAGTAGGAGACATTAAAAGGGGACAGTAGGAGACAGACGCATTAAAAGGAGACACCAAGAGGAGACACTAAGAGACAGAAACAGCAAAAGGAGGCTGTAGGAAACAGAAACAGCAAAAGGAGACAGTAGGAGACGGAAGCAGCAAAGGGAGACACTAGAAGTTAAGAACAGCACAAACAGTTGGAGACAGAAGCAGCACACGGAGACCCTAGGAAGCAAAAACAGCGGAAGGAGACAGCATAAGTGCAGCTGCTTGGAGACAGAGACAGAAAGAGACATCTTCATACATGGAGACGGTGACAGAAACAGAGACAGAGACAGCAACAGCAAGCAGCTCGAGCAGCAGAAAGGGACAGCAGCAGCAAGCAGCACGAGCAGCAGAAAGGGACAGCAGCAGCAGGCAGCTCGCGAAGCAAAGAGAGACAGTTTGGTGTTTTTTATATACTGAGGAGTGTATGTAGAGCCAAGCACATTGAGCAGGCGGGTGTTTGGGGGCATTAGATTTGTTTGCTGCTGTTTGTCTCCTGCTGCTGGTTGCTCTTCTGCTGCAGGGATGTGCTGCTGCTGGAGACAGGCTTCATTTGCTGCTTCGGGCCTGCAGCTCTGTCTATTGGGTGTCCCTTTGCAACAACAGCGGTGCTGCTGCTGCTGCGGCTGCTGCTGTTTAAGCTGCTGTTCTGCTCAGCTGTCTCTAAATGCTGTAGGTCTTCGTTAGTCTCTTTATCCGTTTGCTTGTTTCCCTGTCTCTGCTGCTGCTGTCTCCTTCGATGTCAGCTGTCTCTGTCTCTCGGCTGCTGCTGCAGCAGCTGCTGCTGCTGCTTGAGCCCTTTGCAATTCTAGTGTCTCCTTCTATTGTGCTGCTTTCGCTGTCTCTGCAGCAGCAGCAGCACCGCATTGGAGAGACCTCAGCGCCCTCTACTTCCACTACTGGACGCAGCCCCTACCCGGCCCAGGCTCTTGTAAGCTGCAGCCATTGCTGCTGCTGCTGCTGCTGCTGCTGCTGATGCTGGTGCTCCTTTTAGAGGAGCAGCAGCACCCCTGCAACAGCAACAGCAGCAACGCCAACAGCAGGAGCAGCAACGCCAACAGCAGCAGCAGCACACTCAGCGCACTGCTCAAGCTCCAGAATGGTAGCAGCAGCAGCAGCAGCAGCTGCAGCAGGGTGCAGCCCATTCGCAGCCGCTTCAGCAAGCAGACAATCTAGACGGGGTTAGGGTTTAGGGCTTAGGGTTTAGGGTTTAGCATGTGGCTTTAACGGCTGCTGCAGGGTTCTTCTACTGGTCAAGAGGCAAGCGGCTGCACGCTATGACGGTTTTATTCACAGAGGTTCGTCTGCTGCTGTTGCTGTTGCTGCTGTTGCTGCTGTTGCTGTTGCTGTTGCTGTTGCTGCTGTTGCTGCTGCTGTTGCCGCTGCTGTTGCTGCTGCTGTTGCTGCTGCTGCTGCTATGCCCTTGCTTCTTATAAAGACAATCGGGTTCTCATCACTGGAGCAGCTTCCTCGCTTGCCGGCGTATCTGTTTGTCTCTTTAGCTGTATCTTCTGCCTCTTATTGGGGGGAGGCTTCACTTAATGCATTTGGTGCCTCCTCAGCTGTCTCTATGTTGTGTCTTGCGCGGCGTTTGCTGTCTCCTTTGCTGGGGCTTACTCTGTCTCTTCATTCATGCGGCTCTCCGTTGGAGTCAGTTGACTGTCTGCTGCTCCCTTTGAGCTTTTTGCTGCTTGCTGCTGCTTGGGAAGGGCCTTTGTGCGAGTGTTGCAGCTGCTGCTGCTGTTGCTGCTGCTGCTGTTGTTGCTGCTGCTGCAGGGGGTGATGTCGTGTTTAATCTTCGCTACCGCCCCCTTCCGCGTTGCCGCAGCAGTCTCCATCCTGGGTGTGTATTATCTCTCTAAACGATCTGCTGCTGCTACTGCTGCAGCGTTTGCTGCTGCTGCTGCTGCTGTTGCTGTTGCTGCTGCTGCTGCTGTTGCTGTTGCTGCTGCTGCTGCTGCTGCTGGTTGGAGACACATGAACAGGGTTTGGGGCTTCTGGCTGCATGCAGGCCTTTCCTTGGGGGTGTTGCTGAGCGGCAACTTGGGGTTTCTGCCGCATCTGACTGCTGCTCTGTGTCTCTCTCTGGCTGATGATAATCTCTTAAACGTAGCAGCACCTGCTGCTGCTTCCCTGGTGAGGAGACACTCCATATGCACGCGTGGGGTGTCTGTACACCGGAGACAGAGACAATCCAGCAGCCAATCATGCATTGTTTCTGCTGCTGCGTCCGCTGCTGCTGCTGTAACGGTTGCTGCTGCTGCTTCTGTTGCTGCTGTTGTTGCTGCTGTTGCTGCTGCTGCTGTTGCTGCTGCTGCTATTAATGCTCCTGCTGCTGTTGCTGGTGCTGGTGCTGCTATTGTTGTTACTGCTGGTGGTGGTGGTGGTGCTGCTGCTTTTGCTGCTGTTGCTGTTGCTGCTGCTGCTGCTGCTGACACTGGCTGGGAACGGATCCCTTGTTGGGTGTGGAGTACGCGAGTGTATCTGGGTAGACAGGAAGTAAAGTATTTGTTTATCGATTAAAGTTTTTGTTTGCTGCTTTTATTTTTTACATGCTTTTTGCTGTATGTGCTGCCGTTCATCGCTTCTCTTCATCGCCAGTGCTGCGTGTCTCTGGTGTCTCCTTCTTTAGTTTTTGTCTCTGTCTCCTTTCTGTTTGCGGTGCAGCAGCAAACATATATAAAAACATTAATAAATAAAATAAATACTATTAATAAATAAAGTAAATACATATAAATAAATAAATAAATAAATCAATTAATAATATGTTTCTTTGCTGTCTCCTTTTCAGACATTCCTTGAGCGCTGCGCTTTGATGGCCGGCAGAATTTTCCTCTGCGTAGTCGTGGGGGTTTACTTTATGGTGAGGCAATACCAGCAGCAGCAGCAGCAGCAGCAGCAACAGCAGCAGCAACAACAGGACGGTAGCATCAACAGCATAGGCAACTGCAGCAACAGACCTGTGTCAGCAACGGCAGCAGCAATAGCAGCTGCTGTTGCAGCAGCAGTATCAGAAACAGCAGAGGCACGATAACAGTAGCGGCAACAGCAGCAGCAACAGCAACAGTGCAGAGAACCGATCTGCTGCAGCAGGTTAAGACGGGAGCCGCAGTCGCTGATGTGCTGCTGCTGCTCATTAGTGCTGCTGCTGCTGCTGCTGCTGCTGCAACGGCATGTGAATTGAGCCCTTCTTTTTCTGTGTTTTGTTTGTTTTTGCAGATATACACCGCGGGCTGTCTGAATTATTTCTGCAAGTGAGGCATTATATTATATTATCTCTTGCTCTCCGTACCCTCTCCTTGTCGCTGCCCCTGCAGCAACTGCTGCTGCTGCAGCTGTTGCTGCTGTAACTGCTGCTGCTGGAACATCTGCTGCTGCAGTTGCTGCTCATGCAGGTGCTCCTTCTCCTAATGCTGCTGCTGCTGTTGGGGCTGCTGCACCTGTTGCTGCTGCACCTGTTGCTGCTGCAACACCTGCTGCCGCGCCTGCTGCGGCAGCGACTGGTTTTGCCGGTAAAGCTGCTGCTGCGATTGGTGCTGCTGTAACTGTTGCTGCTGTCTTCAGGATTTGGATGCGGCCGACTGTCTCCGCCCCTTCGTGGGTATTGGCGCTGTGCAGGGAGCTGTCTCTTCTTTGCATCTGCAATGGCTATGGTGAGCGGCAGCAGCAACACCAGCAACCCAGCAGCTGCAGCAGCTGTAGCAGCAACCTAGCAGCTGCAGCAGCTGCAGCAGCAACCTAGCAGCTGCAGCAGGGGTCTATCATAGGGGCTGAGCGAGGATAGCAGAGGAACGAAGGATAGGACAACATGATTTATATAAAATGTAAAGGAGACGATCTCAAGAAGGAGAGATGAGAAAGACATAAATACAAATAATATAATGAGCAGAACATAAATAATATAAGGAGACAGGGGAGCAGAGGAAGGAGGAAGTGTCTCCTGAGTATTGCTTAGTGTCTCTTCTTGCTGCACGTGCTGCTGCTGCAGGCTTATTTTCTGTTGTTACAACGGGGCGTCTTGAACTTGTCTTAGAGGAGCTGCATCAGGCACCAGAGCAGCCGCCGCAGTGGAGAGAAATATGCTTCCCATATAAACCGGGTAAGGCCCTCTGCTCTGTCTCCTTTCGGGTGTCTCCTTTCAGGTGTCTCCTCTGAGGTGTCTCCTCTGACGTGTCTCCTCTGAGGTGTCTCCTCTGAGGTGTCTACTTTGGGGCGTCTCCTCTGAGGTGTCTCCTGTGGGGTGCCTCCTTTCTATCAGTTATGCGGTGTCTCCTCTTATCGCGTGGGGTGTATTGTTGTCTCCGTTCTCTTTTGCTGTTTTTTCTGTCTCCTTTCGTCTCCTTCCGGTCTCCTTGCTGCTTCTACCTTGAGAACAAAGAGGAGACACTGCACAACTAGCTTGAGAGGAGGCACAACACATACAGCTCGCTCAGAGCCCAGCCCCTGCTAGCTAGCTAGCTAGCTACCCAGCAGCGCCAGCTAGGTAGCCACCTGATAGCTAGCCAGCAGCTAGCTAGCAGGTGCAGTTGGCTAGCTACCAGTGAAGGAGAGACAGTGCATAGATACCCATGGGGCATACATACCGTTGTATGCTTTTCCGGTTGTCTGTTGAAGCAGCAACTCGTCCCGTTGCTGCTGCAGTGCTTGGGCTGATGGGCCTCTGCTGCTGCTGCTGCTGCTGCTGGCTTTGCTGCGCAGGAGAGGTGAACAGCTCTCCTCCTTGGTTGCTGTCTGGCCACTTCCCTCGCTTAGATTGGCGTCTCTGGTTTATACCCCTGCGTCTGAAGTCGGCATTGAAGGGGGCCGTAGCAGGGACTCCGCTGCAGCTGCAGCAGCAGCAGCAGCAGCAGCAAATGTCTCTCCACGCATCTTCTTCTGCTGGAGACGCCTCCGCTCAAGACGACGGGCTGCAGCTCTACCCGCCCTTCTGGCGGTCTTTCATTCATCAACTCAGCACCAGACAGCCTGCAGTGCTGCAGCTGCTAGGCCCCCAGGGAGTGAGCCCAGCCCCTCCCAGCCCTAGCTAGCTAGCAACCTAGCTAGCTAGCTAGCTAGGTTGCTAGCTAGCTAGGGCTAGGCGGACGCATCGTCTAAGTCGTCCCCCGTATTGGGTTGCCTTCTGTCGGTGATTGCCCAGACTCGCTGGCTAGTAGCTAGCTAGCTAGCTACTGGCTAGCTAGCTGCTGGGTAGGTAGCTAGCTGGCTAGCTAGCTAGGTTGGGTCTGCCTGTGTGCGCGTCTGTGCTGCTGCGCAGGAAGAGCTGAAGCAGATGCCTCCGCCCTTAGCAATGAAGGTGTCTCTCTATGACTACCGCATGACCCCTCCAGAGGGTTTACCCGCCTACGCTGCCTTCTTTCCTCAAGGTGAGGGGCTGATCTTCTTGGCAGCAACGGCTAGCTGCCAGCTAGCTAGCCACAGCTAGCTAGCTGGCTAGCCAGATACCTAGCTACTCAGATATTCAACTACTCAGCTACCAGCTAACTAGCGCCCCAGAAAACTAGCTAGCGCCCCAGATAGCTAGCAAGCTGCCCAGCTAGCCAGCTGCTCTGATAGATAGTTGCCCAACTAGCCAGAATCCCAGCTAGCTAGCTGCCCTTTTGTCTTCGTTCTGCGAACAGGGTGGACGCACCTCACGCAGCAGGAAATTCTAAAGCTTGAGGTGAGCCGATACTTAGTGCTAGCTAGTTAGCTAGCTAGCTAGCTAGCTAGCTGGCTAGCTATCTAGCTAACTAGCGTGCCTTTGGAAAGGCCTTCAGCGGCCCCCTGATCTCAAGGGGACAGCGGGCTGAGGAGACAGTTAATGCTGTGCCTCTGCTGCTTTGGTGGTATATAGTAGAGACCATGGGAGGCTGCAGGAGGTGTTGTTGCTAGGGGGGACGGTGCGTGTTGAGGGTTTTGTTCGGGTGTCTGTGGAGACAGCTGGAGTGTGGGGTGGGGTTGTTGTTACTGCTGCTGCGCTGCAGAAGGATCTGGTCCATTGGACCATTGGTCGGTGGTGGATGCGGAGGAAGCAACACGATCTTGATTTCTTTGTCTTTTCTAGCAGCTGCCCTCCATTAAAGGAGTTAAATCAGTATTAAGTTGCAGACATAAAAGAAAAGGAGACAGACATTATTCACACGGGTGGGAGACACAAACCCCTGCAGCAACTATCAGCTTCACAGAGGGGGAGCAGCAGCTGACTGTGGGGAGTTGAGGCGTACAGACAGCGGAGACACTTGCCTCCAGCTCTGTTTTCAGGGCTCTTAGGCCAGGCAGCGAAGCATAGGGGGGCCTAACAACTACCCGCTACGCCTTCATGAGATTCAGCTGTCTCCGTGGGCTGTCTAGACACCTCAGCTCCACTACAGCGGATGCCGTATAGACCTGTTATGTCTTAAGTATTCAACACTAGAAAAGACTGTTGCTGCTGCTGCTATTTCTACTTCTGTTGCTGCTGCTGCTGCTTCTTCTTCTTCTTTTGTTGCTGCTGCTGCTGTCCCCATTGCTGTTGTTGGTATTGTTACTGTTATTGCGGTTGGTATTGCTGCTGCTGGTGTTGCTGCTGCTGGTGTTGCTGCTGCTGGTGTTGCTGCTGCCTTCGGACGGCATTTCTTGGCTTTCTACAGCCGTTGCTTTTTATAAGAAAGCATTTCCTCTTGCTAGGCAGCAAAGAGAGTGTATATACTGCAAGCATCTCAACATGGAGCTGTACGTACAGCCCAGCAGTGCCTAACCTTTCGGGGCTGTACGTAGCCCTTTGGCTCCCCCTTATGTAGCAGCGTACTCAGAGACCCCCGGCGAACCCCTAGGGGGCCCCTTGGGAGCCCCTAGGAGGCCCCCTTCGAGCCCCGAGGGGGCCCCTCTGCGAGCCCCTAAGGGGCCCCTAAGGGGCCCCTAAGGGGCCCCTAAGGGGCCCCTAGTGGGCTCTTCTTGGGTGCCCTGTTCCTTGTAGGAGGCTGGCATGCAGCCGCTGCAAGGTGAGGCAGCACTGAGAGCGTGAGGCGGCTGCTGCTGAGGTGTAGACCTCTGAAGAACAGAGAGGGTAAGGGAGCTGCTTTGCAGCAGAGTTAAGTAGAGATAGAAGCACAAGCAAAGACAGAGAGAGATAGAAACAGCAACAAAAGAAAAGAATAAAGCCTCTATCTGCAAGAGACTCAAACTAAACTTAACTCATTTGCATATTTATTTTTTCTGAACTTATGAGCCCAGAGGAGAGGTCCCGGGTTCGATTCCCCCTCTCGATTATAAACAAAAACTTAAATGAAAAATAAACAAAATATTAATTATAAGCCTCTTCCCTATTTAATTTCCCCCTTCATTATCTTAATATCCGTGCAAACCACTCACAGCAGGGGCCCCCTAGGGGGCCCCCTGAGGGGGCCCCCCTAGGGGGCCCCTCTGGGGCCCTTTTATGATGAAGCTAGCTGCTGAGGAGGCCTATGAGACTGTAAGAAAAAGAAAAGCGTAGAAGATTCTTCTTAGTTTCATTTGGAGGCCCCAGTAGCTCGACTGTGGATTTATATATATTCAATTTTACCTTCTGCAGCTTGCTGCTAAGGGGCCCCTTCTCCTAATATCAATAAAGCTTTTGTAGGGGGGGCTGCAGCATCTCTGAGATAATAGAGAGAGCTGTAAGGTACAAGGAGAGCCACAGGAAGCCAGTTAATCAGAGCAGCAATCATTAACAACAGGGGACGCTCTGCTTCGCTTCGCAGCGAATCCTGCTGCTGTTGTTGTTGCTGCTGCTGCTGCATGTGCAGCTGCAATTCTCGTCTGCAACCAGCAGGCCAAGCCTCTGTCGACCCTACCTGCGTCAGGGACCCTGCAGGGGCCCCCTTCAGGGGCCCCCCTCAGGGGCCCCCCACAGGGGCCCCCTTTGGGGGCCCTTGCAGGGGCCCCCTCCCTAAAAACTCCTATTTGTTTCATGCTAAGTAACGAAGCTGCGCTACTATGAAGTATAAAGAAGGTACAGGGGCCCCCTTGCCTGTGGAGGGAGTAGGGGGGCCCCCCATTGCTCTCTCTTGCGGTCTCTTAGACTGTGCTGCTGCTCTGCATCACGCTGGCCCCTTCCTGACAGCTGGAGATTTGCTGCGGCTGTGCTGCTGCTGCTGCTTGCTGCAGCAGCAGCAGCAAAAGGGGGGCCTCTTGTTCTCCGCTCTTGAAGCTGCCCTCGCCAGGCTCCTCCACAGCCCCAGAGCTCGTGCAGACCTCTTAAAGGAATTCGTTTACATCAACTGCTGCTCTTTGGGGCCCCCTCTTTGCTTTAAGAAGCCTCATCAGCCCCCAAGTAGGCAGCAGAGATGCGCATCAGTGCTGGTGCTGCTGTCGTTGCAGCAGCAGCAGCAGCAGCAGCAGCAGCAGCAACAGCAGCTTCTGCCTTTGCATGCTCTCTGAATTTCTGCTGCTGCTGTGTTGCTGCTGTGTTGCTTCTGCGGGGTATGCATCTTTTCGCTGCTGCGCTTGCTGCTGTTGCTGCTCGGCTCTGTGGTGCTGCTGCTGCTTAGCGGGTTTTGCTGCTGCATGTAGTTCTGCTTCGTGTGGTATCTGTGCAGGCTGCTGCTGCTGTTCCAACAGCGTAGCCGGAGGGGGCGCTGCAGCAGCAGCATCAGCGACTGCAGCAACTGCAGCAGCTGCAGCAGCAGACAGGAAGCGACTGAGGTCAGACTTACAAGACTTAAGGGGTTCAACCCCTCATCAAGGAGACACCCTATCGATTTGCTGCAGGGCCCTTCAGCTGTCTCCGAATCCCCCTCAGCTGTCATTGCAGCAGCTTGCTTCTTTCTTTCTACGCTTGAGGCGCTGCTGGAGGCTCATAGGCACAAACGCAGCCCCAGCAGCAGCAGCAGCAGCAACAGCAGCAGCAGCAGCAGCAAGAGCAAGCTCGGATTCAGCCTCCCTACGGATCCTGCCGTTTGTGGGGCCGCACAGTGGGGAGGCAGAGGCATCCGATGCAGCATCAGCTGCTGCACAACCTGCAGCAATATCAGCAGCAGCAGAAAAAGCTGCTGCTGCTGCAACTGCTGCTGCTGCAGAGGGTTCGCTGGCCGTTGAAAGCTTAGGGGCCCTTCAGTGGGACTGGAGCGAAGCGGAGGATTGTCTCCTTGTCTCTAGGGGGGGTGAGCTGTTGCTGCTGCTGCTGTACCTGTTGTTGTTTTTGCTGCTGCTGCTGCTACTGCTGCTGTCACTCCTGTTGCTGCTGCTGTGGCTGGGCATATCAGGTGATGGTCTCTGCGTTTGTTGTGTCAGGGAGTTGGTGCTTCGTTTTGCAGCAAAGGGAGAGCGGAGTGTTTGTTTACCAGCCGCTTCTCTTTCCTGCTGCTGCTGTTGCTGCGGTTGCTGCTGCCCCTCCAAGTAGTACTCCTGCTGCTGCAGGAAGCAGGGCTGCTGCTGCTCCTTCAGCAGCTGCAGCAAAGTCTTGTGAGGCAAAAGCATTCGAGCCGCAGCCACGCAATGTCTCGTACAGTAGTTCTGTCCCCAGGAGCATCAGTTGCAGCAACAGCAGCAGCAGCAGCAGCAGCAGCTGTGCGTTACCCCTAATAGCAGAGCTGCCTCCCCGTGGTGCGAGTAAGTTCTCGCAGCAGCATCAGCGCCATCAAGGTCCCCACCGCCTCGACAAGGTGCCACAGCAGCAGCAACATCAGCAGCAACAGCAGCAACAGCAGCAGCAGCAGCAGCAGCACCACATGCTTCGGCTAGTGCTGCAACGTAGCGTTTCCGTGCATGAAGATCCTTCACTGTGGTCGCGGGCCCCCCCTCAACTTTGCGAGTGCTCAGGGCGCGTGGCTGTCCCCTTGTGGGGACCTGGAGAGACACCCCAAGTAAGCGAACAGCAAAGCAACTGCTGCACCAGCAGCAGAAGCAGCGTCAGCTGCAGCAGCAGCAGAAGCGGCGTCAGCAGCAGTAGCAGCAACGAACAAAGATGTGATAATAGCTGCAGCAGAACCTGCAGCTCGATGCAGCAGCAAAGCTGCCGCAACTTGCCGCGCCAGCAGCAACTGCAGCAGCAGCAGCAGCAGCAGCAGTTACCACACCTACACGCCTTCCGGTGTCCCTGTACACTGTGGGCGTTGTTTTGCTTCACTTGTCTCCTGCCATTGTCCTTATTTCTGCTGCTGCCGTTGCTGCTGCTGTTGCTGCTGCTGCTGCTGCTGCTGCTGCTTCAGATCTTCAGCTGGAGCCCCATTTACCCCCACCGCCTTCGCCGCCGCTCTTTTAGGAACCTCCACAGCCTCACAGTTGCTGCACTGCCGGTGTATCGTCACCATAGCAGCAGCAGCAGCAGCAGCAGCTGCTGCTGCTGCTGCAGGAAGCAGCCTCCTGTGGAGCTTCTGCTCGTTGGCCAGGGACGGGCGCTGCAGGTGGTGGTGCCGGAGACACTCGAAGTGCTGCCGACGGCGCTTCTCACCAGCCGCCCCGCAATGCAGCAGCAGCAACAACAGCAGCAGCAGCAGCTGCTGCAGCAGGAACAGCAGCAGCAAGGGGAGCACTGGAAGCTACGAAAAAGTTTGTCTCTGCCGTTTGCATACAACGGGTATATACTGTTAGTCTCGCGCAGGTATCTCGTTGCCCTCCCCAGGTTCTGTTTGGGGGCAGCTCATCAAACAGCATCTTCCTATGAAGACAGCAGCAGCAGCAGCAGCAGTAGCAACAGCAGCCGCAGCAGCAGCGACCTTAGCAGCAGCAGCCGCAGTAACAGCGAAACTGACAGCAGCAGCGAGAGCAGCCGCAGCAGGGGATCACCTCCTGGTAGCAGCACTGAAGAGGGCCTTGCGAGCAGCAGCAGCAGGAGAGGCATGCCCAGCAGCAACAGAGGCAGCAGCAGCAACAGCAGCAGCAGCAGCAGCAGCAGCGATGGTGAAGAAGACGATTTTCCTGTAGAGCTCTCTGAGGAGACTGCGAGACTGCGCGGCCCTCAGGGTCGCATGTGGCGCCTACGAGCTCCCTACTGCAGCAGAAGGCACAGCAGCAGCAGCAACAGCAGCAGTAGCAGCAGTTGCAGTTGCAGTTGCAGTTGCTCTACGAATGGCACCGACAGCAGAAGTAACAACGGGACTCCCGGCAGCAAATGCTGCTGCTGCAGTGTCTCTAATCGGCGCAGCGCAGCAGCAGCAGCTAGCAGCAGCAAACGTTTGCTGCTGCAGTCTCCCTATCTGCATGTTGGGCGTCCCTCCACCATTAGCACGGGGGATGTTGGGGTCTCCGCAGGCTGTCTCTCTGTACGTTTTGTCTCTAAACCCTCAGCAATGGCAGCAGCAGCTGCTGCAGCTGCTGCTGACTACCTCCCGCACCTGCTGTCTCCATCTGTGCCAGTGCTGCAGCAGCTGCAGCTGCAGCAGCTGCCAGTGCTGCAGCTGCTGCAGCGCAGAGGGGCAGCAGCAAGACCTGTGAGGCGCTTGCTTTCGTCACTTCTGACTTACTACTTCTGGTGCTGCTGCTGCTGTTGCTGCTGCTGCTGTTGCTGCTGCTGCTGCAGGGTCCGTGGCTGTGCTTCGGGTTTGAGGACTCCCTGATAATACACTGTCTCTGTCTCTTTAAACGGAGACGGGAGAGAGAAAATGTCTCCTCTGTGTACAGACAGCACTGGCAAAGGAGACCCAAGTGTCTCCTAAAGCTGATGAAGACAAAGGCGGTGGCTCGCTCTCTTGAGGGGTGAGACCCTCTCATATCTATTAAGGACTTATGCTGCTGCTGCTGCTGCTGCAGCTACTGCAGCGACGGCGTGCAGCAGCAGCAGCAAAAGCAGCAGCTGCGGTACCCTGCTGCTGCTGCAACAGCAGCGGCTACGGGAGGGCTGTCCAGCCACTTGGGCATTCTGCTGCTGGGACCCATATGATGCTGCACCTTGCATGTTTGCTGCTGCTTTTGCTGCTCTCTGTGTTGTTGCTGTTGCTGCTTCTGTCCTTCGTGCTGCTTATGTTGTTTTGTTTCTGCTGTGCTGCTTGTGCTGCTGCTGCTGCTGTTGCTGTTGCATCACGAAGGGAATGCCAAGCAGGCGTTGCTGCTTTAGACTGCCGCCAGGTGTCTCTAGCGACGTGCATGCGTCTCTTGGGTCTCCACAAACCGGAGCAGCAGCTGCAGCAGCAGCAGCAGCAGCTGCAGCAGCAGAGAGGCCTACTATTTGAGGGACAAGAGCGGCAAGGAGCAGGTGCTTCTTTCGGAGACAGTGGTTCTGTGCTTCTCATTGCTGCTGCACTGTCGCTAGGCAGTCTCCTTTGTGGGGTCCTCGCCCCAGCTGGCTCGCTGCCTCAACCCCGCAAGCAGCAGCAAACCAGCGGAAGTATTGCTGCTGCTGCTTCTGCTGCTGCTTCTGCTGCTTCTGGCTGGGACGGGGAGCAGCAGCGCGTGGGTGAGCAAAGCCTCGCTGCTGCTGCTGCTTCTGCTGCGGAGGGAGACCCTGGGATCGTGTGGGAGACGATCCCCGTGCGGAGGAATGGGGGGGAGGAGCGCTGGGAGTTTGTGCTGCTGTGGTTGAGGCAGCAGCCAGCAGCAACAGATGCAGCAATAGATGCAGCAGGAGGTGCAGCAGCAGCAGCAGCAGCAGCAGATGCAGCAGCAAGAAGGCGGTGGGAACGCGTGGAGCTTCGGCTGTCTTCAGGGACTCTCATCTGCAACAGGTAAGGAGACAAAATGTGCTGCCTGCCTCCTTTTGCTTCTTCTCTTTTTGTCTCTAAAAGCAGAGACAGAGACAGCACACAAAGGAGAGACAGAGACAGGAAGACAGCAAGACAAAGAGAGATACAGCAAAACAGAGACAGAGACATCAAAACAGAGACAGAGACATCACAGCAGAGACAGAGACAGAGACGGAGACAGACAGAGAGACATATACAGCAAAGCAGACGGAGACAGAGACAGAGACAGCTAGGCAGCAGCAGACATACCAAGACACCTACAGAGACAAACGACGAACGTAAAACTACACACCTAACTACACAAAGAAAGAGAGATAAGAAGGAAGAAACGGAGACAGAAAGAGACAGACAGAGACAGCAAGATAGAAGCAGAGACAGACAGAGACAGCAACAGAGACGTAAAGGCAGCAACGGAGACACCAAGACAGACAAAGGAAGAAACAGAGACAGTCAGACAGCAACAGAGACACAGAGACAACAGAGACAGATATACACCAGAGGAGACAGAGGTCTTGCTTCGGAGACAGGGACATGTGTAAGGAGACACTCAGGAGACAAAGACAGCACTTTGCTGCTTTCTTCTTGCATGCGCCCTGCAGCGCCTCTGCCGCACAAGTATTTGATTTCCGGACGGGGCGCCGCCTGCTGCAGCAAGGAGACTATCAGGCTTTAGGTGAGTTGAGGTCAGGAGACACCGCAGCAAACAAACGAGTGCTGCTGCTGCTGCTGCTGCTGCTGCTTTAGCTGCTAAAGCAGGCTCACTGCAGCAGAGGAACGTTCTGATGCTGTTTTTGTTGCTGCTGCTGCGCTGTGCTCGCTGCAGCAACAGATGGAAGCGGCTCTCGTCTAGTGGGGATTACAGCAGCGCCGCAGCAGCACGTGCAGGTGACTGTCTCTTTGCTGCTATTTGCTGTCTGCTGCTGCTGTTCTGCTGCTTCACTGCTATTGCAATAGCATCGCTAGGGCAAGTAGCTCCTCATATTGCTGCGGCAGCACTTCTGTTGCTGCTGCTGCTGCTGCTATCCCGTCACTGCTGCCGTGCTGCTGCTGCTGCTGCTGCAGGTGCTTAATACGGCTCTCCGAAAGCCGCTTCCCCCAGCAGCTGTATGCCGAAGCATGCAGCAAACACAGCAGCAGAAGCAGCAGCAGCAGCAGCAGACCTGGTGGAGGTCCTGTGACGGCTGTGGGGATGCATGCGGTATCTGGCGCATGTCTTCTTGCTGCTGCGGCACTTGCTGCTGCAACAGCAGCAGCGTCAGTGCTGCCAACGGGAGCTGCTGTTGTGTAAGCAACAACAACAGCAGCAGCAACAGTAGCAGCAGCAACAGCAGCAGCAGCGAGTGTACTTCCGCTGGTGTTTGGTGGTGAGTCTTCCTCTTTTTCATGGTACCGCATAATAACACGATAGAGTCTTCAGGACCTGCTGCTGCTGCTGCTGTTGTTGCTGCTGCTGCTCTTGCTGCTGCTTGTTGTTGCTGCTGCATGCTTTTGCTGCTGGTGCCTGCTGCTGCTTGTCCCTTTGCTGCAGCTCTGGATTCTGCGCGGCGAGACATTTAGCTGCTGCAGGGCACAGCTAGTGTGTGTCTCCTTGGGGTCTCTTCTCATCCAGGAGACAGCAGCAGCAGCAGCACAATCAGCAGCAGCAAAAGAAGCCTTCCATAGCAGCAGAACCGACCTCCTGAGCCGCTGCATTATATATTTTATAATAATATTCGCCCCACACCATCACCTGCAGCAGCTGGAGACCTCCATTTGTTTGCTGCTGCTGCTGCTGCTGCTGAGTGTCCTTCTTCAGCTTTTTCGAGGGGTTGTCTTTGACTTGGAAACGCATATATAAATATATAATATATACAATATATATATATATATATATTAATATATAAATATATAATACATATTTATCATATACGCACATATATATATATATATATATATTTAGGGTTAGGCAAATACTTATTCATATATATAGGTAGGGGTAGGTATCTATTTATTCATATATATATATATATATATACATATATATACATATACATATACATATACATATACATATACATATGCATATATATATATATATATGTATATATATATATATATATATACATATATATATATATATATTATATGTTACGGCAGAGACAGACGCAGTGGAGACAGGAGACGGCGCTACAGGCTAAAGAAATGCAGCACAAATATAACCCCACAGATAAAACTGCAAAAGGAGACACCTTCATAGAATGAGTAGTTGAGGGAGACAGACACTCAGAGACACTGCAACGGTCTCGGAGACACTGCTAACAGCCCTTGCAGCAGCAGCAACAGCAGCTGCAGCAGTAACAGCAGCAGCAGCAGGAACAGTGGTTGCTGCTGCCGCAGCGCTCGCTGCATCTCCTCTTCGTGTTTGATACAGGCGGCTGCAAAGGAGACAAGGGACAGAGCCCCCTGTCTCCTTTGCAGTGTCTCTGTCTCTGCTACATCCCAGCTACTAATCAATCAAACCAACGGACCCTAAAAGTAAAACTCTCCTCCGTCTCTGTCTGGGGCAGCAGTAAGTTGAGGGAGAGCCCTCTCAGCTCCCCTGCTGCAGCAGCAGCAACTGCTGCTGCTGCTGCTGCTGTTGCAAAGGGGTTAACAGCAGCGGTGTCTGCAGCAGCAGGGCCAAAGGCTGAGTCTTACCCTCTGCGTACACCACAGAGGGCATTGACTGCTTCGTGCTGCTACTGCATAAAAAGGTATTATGGGGCATGCAGATACAGCAGCAGCAGCAGGAGCCGAGCTGCTGCAGCAGCTGCTGCTACTTTCTGGCGCAGCAGCACTGCAGGACTGCGTGAATAGTATAGGTCTCTTAAAAATGAAGAGACAGCAGCTTCGTACTGTCTCCTTTGTCGTCTGCTGGTGTCTTAAGAGACCCCATTTGCTGCTATGCATTCTCTACGATGGAGACACCGCCCGTGCTGCTGCAGCGGCGCATACGGGTTGGGGTGTATCGTCAGTTTATGAATTTAAGTGTAATGAATTCAAGTGTATGCCTGTCTTAGTCTCGGGGTGTATAATCAGCTCGTGAATTCAAGTGTATGTCTGTCTTAGTCTTGGGGTTTATAACATGCATATTATATTAATTTGCATGTCTGTCTATGCCTTGATTTAGTCTTGGGGTGTATAATCAACTAATGAATGCATGCGTCCGTCAGTATTAGCTTTGGGGTGTATATATGTTATTTAATTTGCGTGTATACCTGTCTTACCCTTAGAGTGTATAATAATGAGTTAATTAGTCTACTTGTCTGTCTGTCTTAGTCTTGGGGTGTATAATGATGTTAGCATTATTAATATTACAATAATATCAATCCACCTCCGTGTCTTCGTCTTGGGGTGATATACACTATATATAAATGCACATATATATATATATATCTATAAACGAGTAAATGAGTAAATTATGTATATATACAAACATACACACACACATATATATATAATAGTTTAATTGGGGTGTATATTAAAGCTCGTCATGCAGTGAAGACATTTCTTCAAGTTCTTCATGAGCTAGCAGCTCTTCAGGGATCTTATATACATATGTATATATACATATGTATATATATATATAGACTTATATAATAGTTTAATTGGGGTGTATATTAAAGCTCGTCATGCAGTGAAGACATTTCTTCAAGTTCTTCATGAGCTAGCAGCTCTTCAGGTGTCATAGGTCTTGTGCCTCTAACGACATGGCGGCTGAAGATGTCTCCGATGCCTCTAGGCATTGTGGGGTCTCCTTCATCTAATTCTTGAAGCTCTTCTCTTTCTATCCATAGATGGTCTTCTACATGATGCCAGTCATAATCTATCCAGTCTATCTCCATTAAATCATCCGCACTGATGCTGCTGCTGCTGCTGCTGCTGTTGCTGCTGCTGCTGCTGCTGGGTTGGTCGCTTACGTTGACGTATTCGTTAAATATCTTCTTCGTTCCTTTTACAGTCCTTTCCATTCTATGAAAGGAGACAGGGGTTATTGCATGCACAAGAAGATGATGATAATCTGCAGGTCTCTCTTGATGCAAGCCTCTTGCATGCAGCAGAGGCAGCTGCAGCTGCTGCGCCCACAAGCCTAAAATCATATCATCTGCACTGCCGTCTGCTGTACATCTGCACCGCCCGCTGTCTATACACTCCACTAGCAGCTTAACTGCTGCACGATCTAGAACAACCCCGCCTCCCATTGTTGCATATTCATTTCCAGATGAAGACTTGCTGTCTCCTCCTGTTAAGCTATACCCATATCTCTCTCCTAAATATAAAGGAGAGACAGCTTCTAAAGGCCGAGGCCCTCCGTGCCCGTACAGCTGAGAGACAGCAGTAAGCTGTGCAGAGGTATATTTACTATCTTTCAGTGGCGTTGCTGCAGACCTTCCTGCTGCTGCTGCTGCTGCTGCTGCTGCAGGTCCTTCTGCTGCAGCAACTTCTGATAGATAGACTCGAATATCTTTAGCTAGCTGACGATAGCCAGGCCAATGTGCTCTGTATCCATGGGCGTCTCCAAGGAGACTGGCAGTGAAGCCCCTAGCAGGGACAGGGGGTTGTAGAGTTAGAGACAGTAAATCTAAGAGATGTCGGAAGTTAATAAGCGTATCATCATCAACAATAATAAGAAAGCGGCGTGAAGAATGCTGCTCTAAAAGAAAATCTTTCAATACAAGCTGCAGCCGAGCACAGAGACCTTCCTTCCCGGCCGGCACACCAGCTGCAGCAGCACCTGCATCTGCTGCATCAGCAGTTGTAGCTGTAGGAGACAGAGCTTCAATGCCTTGCTTGGGGTCTGCAACGTCCGAGAGGAAGCGAATAGATAGATGCTTGTATGTCTCCTTTATATGCTGCTGCTCCTGCTCGCTAGAGCCCTCTATTGAGTAGCCACCGTACATGTGCTGCTGCGCCTGCTGCTGCAGCACTTCACGTGAAGCCCACAAACTCCGCAGCAGCGGCAAACGTGCTGCGTGGTTAGCAGAGTGCGTCTTCACTACCACCATCACGTCCTGCAACAGCAGCAGCAACAGCAACAGCAGCAGAATCAGCAGCAGAAACAGCAGCAACAGCAGCAGGAGCAGAAGCAGCACGAGCAGCATTAGCAGATAGACAGATATAGACATACACATACATATATACTATATGTATACTATATATATATATCATATAAATAAACATATATATATCATATAAATAAACATATA